GTGCGAGAGAGACAGACGGCTGGCTCGTCCGCACGAAATGAGGCAGGCCCTCTGCACCCCGCGGTCCCGCCAGGCCCGCCGGGCCCGGCGCCAGTGGTCTGTCTTTCCGGTCCTTCCGCTTCCGGTCCAGACGAGAGTGCGGGCTGCAGGGGGAGGGGGCGGCGGCCGGGCTCGGTGCAGCACCGCACGGATTACCGAAGCGGATCTAATGAAATCTGCGCCGTGTTAAGTAGATGCAAATGGAAGGCCAGGGCATGGCCAGGGCATGGCCAGGCCGGCCACAGAGGCAACGGGCGTGGTGGCGGCAAGCGTGGTGATGACGTGGTGGTGGGGCCGCGCCGCGGTGCAGGTGGTCGCCCCCCGGTTCCTCGACCAGGCCGACAAGACGCTCGGCAGTGGTTAAAGAGGTGATGGATCGGCGCTACAAAGACCGGGCTGGGGGAGGGGGGCTCTCATTAGACGCAACGCGGTGACTAATGAGCCTTTAATTGGGGCAAGTAATTACCTTACCTGCTATCGCCGGCTCCCCCGCCATTATTTTCTGCCTGGACAGCTTTCATCGTTCGGTTGGGTTTTTATTTCGGAAATGTTTAATTTTGACGGTTGGACTTTCTTCGATTAGTGCCGGCGGAGCGCGCGCATCTTGCGCGGGAAAAAAAAGAAAATGGCGGATCTGTCTCTCCCGCTTTCTGTCACGCGGGCCTCACTTGTCATCTTTTGGCGATTTGGTGTGTGCGGCTGTCTCGCTGTCTCTGTCCGCCCCCTCCCCGGGGACCTCTTTTCTCTCTCTTTCTCCCCGAAGTTGGCTGCCGTGTCGGTGCGCCGTCGCCCCGGAAGCGTGGCCCGCCTGGCCGCCTCTATGAATTGGCGCGCATTCGTCACATCGGCGCTGCCAACTCCGCGGCACCGAACTCGGCGCGACTCTGCCGAGGGCGTTGTCTCGCCCCGCCCCAGTGTTGGCCACACTGGCGCGCCGAATTTGAGGCCCGCGATATTCCGAGCCGTGGCAGGCGGGGAGGGATTGTCAATTACTATCTTTGGAATGAGCCCGCATACTACCCCGTATAAGGAAACCGAACGAGTATTGACTGAGAAATTTGAAAGGGAAAAGAAAAAAATTTGAACTCTACACCCCCTCCCCAGTCTTAATGGGGAGGCCTCCTGCTTTACTTCGGTGTTCGGGATGGGAACCGGTGCTATCAGGTACCTGGGGTTAATCCCGTCAGCGACCCAAGCGTTCGCCGGGGGACCCAGTAGGACCCCAAAGCTCAGGCAGCTGGGTGAGAGCACCCAGTACGAAGCTCTTTGAGGGGCGGGACGTAGAGTGAGACGACAGAGAGACAGAGAGAGACTCAGACAGAGAAGAGGTTTGGTGGGAGCTTCTTGTTTTCGTAGGGTTGGTTGTGTACCCCATGGTACCCCCACTGTCCGGCGCTCCCGTACCGAACATACAGCGTTTTAGGCCAGCTTCAAAGGACTTATCATCGCCTCCCCGACGAGTCAAGGAGGCACCACCCGCAACCACACACCGGATGGTCTGGATTGATGGATCAAATACTCCATCGCTCCAGTGCCGAGGCCAACCCGCCGAAGCGGATTGCTTTTTAGACACCCACAGCGGAGTGGCCAGGTGAATGTGACTCTGACCACTACGCTATCACGCTTGTACGTCTGGCAGCGTGTTGGACGACGGGTTTGAGTTGCAGTGGGAGGAAGGCGGTCGAAAAATGTAATGAAATGATGGGATTCGATCCCCGGACCCCGGCACCGGGATCACACGACTTTACGCTCTCGGCCACCACGGCCCATGATGAGGGGACCGGCGTGAGGTGGGTTCTTGACGCAACAGGTCTCGACCGACCCGGTCAAAATTTCGCAAGAAGTTGGGGGAGTCGAACCGCCGACCCTAGCTTAGGGAACCGACGCCTCTACTCCCTGGACCACCACGTCCCATGCACGGAGTAGGCTCACGTTCACGGGTTTCAACCGCACTGGGTGAGGCAGTAAAATTAAATGGAAATATTTGTTAGGAGTCGAACCTCCGGCATGTGGGTCTGTTGCACACGGCTCCGCTCGGATGGCCTCGAACCACCACCCTTAGGATAGTAAGTCGAAAAAACGAATGTGACGCTGGTATTCGAACGCCCGCCTGCGGTAACTCGATCCCACGTCTCTAACCTCTCGGCTATCACAGCAGTTGTGTAACGCGACGGATCATCTGCTTTCATTAACGTTCGTTGAATGAGATTTTTTCATCGTGTATTTCAAGATATTCGAGGGAAAAGGCGCATGCATGGCGCCGCCTCCTCGTGTGCTGGACCTGCGGCGTCAGCGCGTCTCGGCTGCATCAGCGTTTTTTAATTGGCGCCTCCCCCTTTTCCCCGGCCCCGGCCGGGCTCGAACCTCGGTCCGGCGGCCTCCTTCCTCACTCCGAAACGGCGCCTTGCTCGCTCTGTCTCGCTCGCACCGCCGCGCGCCGGCCCGTGAGTGCGAGAGAGACAGAAGCTCTGTTCGGAACCGTCCGGGGAAAAGAGGGAGCGGTGAGCGCGGCGAAGCCAGAATGCCATTAGATATCATTCCGGAGACATTCCACATGAGGCAGTGTAGGGCCACCGACCCCGGCCGGGACGTGAGAATCCCTCCGATGGGAACGAACACACCGCAAACAATTCGGCGCGTGACTTCCCGTAATGGACCCAGCGCATGTTTGTTTCCATTCCATTTAATTTTTAATTATTTTTTATATATTTTTTTTGCGCTGCGATAGCACCGCCAACTTGCGATTCGCGATTAAAAGCAATCGAGGGGACGCTCAGGTTCGCGCTCCTGTTAATGAACTTTTGTGACCCGCGAGGCCCGAAGCGCAACAGGCCAGCCTCGTCACTCTGTCTCTCTCGCACTCCTCGGCGGCGCGAGAGAGACAGAACGGTCTTCTGAATCGGCCTGCTGGCTTGCGCGTAACGAGGGCAATGCCACGTTACGCCGGTAAATCTACAATTATCGCGATCTGCAAGGCAGTCTGCGAGAAGGCGAACAAAGAGATGCTAATTTTTTTTTTTTTCCTTCGAAAACGAATAGAATAAGTGATTCTACTGCTGCTTCGTATACATGGGCAGCCAAAGTGGTACGCGTGAAAAGGAGAAAACAAAGAGAGCGTGTGGGAAGGACATGGTTGTGACGACATGGGTCGCGTCATGGACTCGTGGAAGGACCCGGCAGCACCCCGATGACGACATTATTGACACAGACATCGCACTGCGTTCCGTCGCTCTGTCTGTCTCTCTCGCTCTTTTACCAACACCCATCAGCGTGAGTGAGAGATCCGATCGACGGAAGCGCATGCTGTTCGGAATCAGCCTGCAGAAGGCCGATTCGATTAGAGCTCGGCTCAATGAGCGAGTGATCGCCCGGAGAGAGGAAGGAGAGAGAGAGAGAGAGAGAGAGAGAGAGAGAGAGAGAGACTCGGAGAAGGGGTTGCTTTTCCGAAACGGCATCCGGAAAGGGGCCCAAACGGTGGCCCGGCCGGCCATGCTCCAACAGAGCCGAGGGCCGGATGCTGCAGAGCAAGAGACGCCACTCGCTCACACACACAGACACACACAAACACGCCCACACACACACACACAGACGGGCAGTCACACAGACAAGACGGGGGGACGCGACCGGACGAGTCGAGAGAAAGGTCAATATGGCATTCTCTTTTGCAGCGTTTCAGACGACGTCGCCCCGCCAGGGCGACACGAGAAAAGGCGTTGGTGGTGCGGGTGGGCCGCCGCCAATGATTTTGTGTGTGTGCGTCTGTGCGTGTGTGTGCGAGCGTGTGTGTGTGTGTGTGTATGTGTGCGCACGCGCATGGTTCGCATGGTGCGTGTGTTAGTGCGTGTCACATTCATCCTCATCCCACTGCAAAGAAGTGGACCTGAAAACTTTGCCACCGTCACAGACACCCCCACCCCTTCGTCCCACGCTGTCTCTCTCTATCTCTCTCCCCCCGCCTCTCTGTCTCTGGTGGGCGGGCGTCAAACTTATTACGGACTTTGGTTTCAATAGCCGGCGGGGAAATTTGATTATCCGTGAAGTCAAAGACGTCCCTTCCCGAAAAGGGTCGCGTCGCGAGACTGGTCGGACACGGCGACGCGACGCGACGCGAAGGCCGACATGTCAAAGTCAAAGTTATCTCGCCGCCGTCCGGCTGCGATCTCTCCACCGCCCCGAAGGGTGGAGGGGGAAGGTGCGGTGGTGTTTGCGCCAAATTTGAGTTTGCAAAAGTTGCGCGCGCGCGCGTGTGTGTGTGTGCGTGTGTGTCTCGCCAGGTGTAAAACTAACGCAATAAACGCACCTTTTTGAAGACTGCCCAGCGCCCCTTCCAATCTTCACGAAACGTTACAAAATAAGCCGCCGCTGCTGCTTCGCTCTGCTGCAGCGGCCGTTCGCGGCGTTCGCGGCACCGCTTTCATTATTGGCAAACTTTAACGCGTCGCGAATATGAAGGCGGGGCTCGTTGCGCCCACACTGGCAGCAAAAAAAAAAAAAGCCTGGACAACATTGTGCCTGGGCCGGCCGGCCTGGCGGCGGCAGTGCTTTGGCAGTGCTTTGGCGGTGCTTTCGCAGCTTTCGCAGCTTTCGCAGCCACCGCGCCGCGCCCAGCCATGTGACCCTCGCCCTGCACTTGCCTCGCGCGGCTAAAACTCGGCCATAAACGCGCAGACTAGCAGGAAAGTTTGGCCCACGTATCCTAACTACGAAGCTTCATTCGTTTATTACACCCCCACCACCCACCCTCGGCTCCACCGATGTGCCCGCGAAATGGTTCCGCTGCCGAGGTTCCGCGCAGCGCTGGATCATGCCTTGCACTCCCAGCGAGCCTCTGTCTCTCTCTCGAACCCCTTGCGCCACGCCCCTCGAGTGCGAGAGAGACAGAGTGCTCGTCGGACGACAAAAATGAGGAGGCTCGTGTCTTGTTCGTGTCCGTGACCGTGTTTTCTTCCTTCTGCTTGCAGGCCAAGCTGGAGACCAAGGCCCTGAAGGCGAAGCGACCCGGCTTCACGGACGACCGCTACAACGAGACGTCGTACTACATCGAGAACGGTGGGTAGAACACGACTCGCCAAACGCAAAATGGCCACTGTGCTTAAAATTTTCCTTTTTTTAAAATTGGCCTTGGCTTTTTTTTTTTTTTTTTCATTCCGGGCCACGGCGCGTGGTGGATAGGCAGCCCAAGCCTGTCTGCGGGACAGGGCTGTTCTCTTCGGCTTAGGCGGTTTGGGGGTTTGGGGTTTGGGGTTTGGGGTTTGGGGGTTTGGGGGCGCGGACTCCAGGCGAGGCAGGGGCGGCAGGCTGTAAGGCGGCGAAAAAGGGGCGGGCCCTGTGTGCAGTTGCGTGCGTGCTTGTCACGTGACGAGCGTGACGTCACTGTAGGGGGTGGGTCGGGCTGGCCGGGCGGCCGGCCCTCGCGACGCCCGGGACCATAAGTCAAGCTCAGAGTTCCCCACGGTCCACCAACAGATAAACTTGATTTTATCCCAGGTAAACTCCCGCGGGAGGGCCAGGGGCGCGGCCAGGGGTCGGCGGGGCGGGGCGGCCTGGAGCGACGCGGCCCAGCCCTTGGCCCGGGCTTTATATAAGATGTGGCGGTAGTCGACGGGGTAATCACCAAGGCCGGGCCGGCGAGTCGGGTTCTCCGGGGGTCAGAGGGTCGGCGCCGGTCACAAGGGAGAAACCGGAGCAACCGGAGGCACTGGAGCTGCAGGCTCGTTCCGAACGGAGCGCCGTCGCTGCGTCTCCCTCGCCGCCCTGCGGGACGCCGGGGCGCCCCGCGAGTGCGAGAGAGACGGAGCGACCCCTCGGAGTGGGGCTGCCGGAGCTCGCTGCGCGCAGCGGCACCAGCGAGGGATGCTCCTTGTTCGCCACGGCCGAGCGAACCGAGCGAACCGACGCCGGCAGCGCGCCCAGCGCGGCGGGCGCAGCGCGGCGGCAGGCTAGGCTGACTCCACTGCTTTCCCGGCTCCCATGTATGCAGGGCCCACCCCCGAAAGGGGAAAAAACTGCGGGATGGCGGTGTTTGAACCTCGTGCTCGACAGAGCGTGGCGGCAGCGAATTCCGCCCCGCTCGGCTCCCAGCCGCTGCTTTCTCCTCCTGGAACCGGCAATTTTCGCACAGATCCATTCCCATCCTTTTTCGCGCTCTGTTATGGGGATTTTTGGGATTTCTAGAGATTTTTGATTGCGGCTGCACTGGCTGATGTTATATTCGTGAGGTGACGTCCCAGCGGGCGGCACGGCCAGGCACGGCCAGGCACGGCCTCGGGAAGGGTCCGGGAGCGTGGCCGAGCGTGGAGGGCCGAGCGTGGCGGCCGGTGGCGGGCCGGGCCCCGCGGGGGTTGGCCGGACCGTTACCGCCCCTACGACCACCTCAGTTGTTTGGTCTGGATCCTTTATACCTTTTTTTAGCCCCGCATTCGTCATCATAAAGCAGGTAAGTGGCTCCATTGACTTTTACTGCTCGGATTGAGGGCGGGTGAGGGGGAAGGGGGAGGGGGGGGTCGTCGGGTTTCGGCAGGCGTATCGGTCAGCGAGCGTCTCTCCCGGTCGCCGCCGTCCGGTGCACCGAATGTGTCTGGTCTGCAGACTGATTCCGAGGGACGCTTGGCTGTCTCTCTCGCACTCAAGGGGCGTCCCGTATGGGTGCGAGCGGGACAGAACGACTCTAGGAATGAGTCTGAACGGACACAGGGCAGTGGGATGGCGCGTTCATGCGACCGTCCTCCATCCAACACCTCCCAGCCTCCCGTCAACCCTCCCCTCCCCTCCCCTCCCAGGGGATCACGGCCCCGCGCTGGCGAGCTATTGAGTGCCGATCGGACGCGGGAGGACCCACCGCACAGTGGGCCAGAAGACCGGTGGAGGCGGCCAAAACTCTAGACGCGTTTCGAGCCCCAGAGTCGCTAAATGGGACTCAAACCGAACGTGTGACCCCACCAATGGATTGCTCTCCGAACGAGGAATCCATTGGTGGGGTCACACGTTCGGTTCGAGGCCTGCATAGCGACTCTGGAGCTCAAAACGCGTCTAGAGTTTTGACCGCCTCCACCGGTCTTCCGGCCCACCACCGTGCACCGCCGGCCTACCGAGCTCTGTCCGTCTCTCTCGCACCCCCACGGCGAGAGCCACGAGAGCGACGGAGACAGAGCGACGCAAGGACGGCCCGGTTCAGCTTATTAGTTGGAATAAGTTGCTGGGGTCGATGAGGAGGCCGATGGAGGCCGGCCCGGCCAGGCCAGCCGTTCAGGAGGTATTACGCGGCGCCATTAAAAGTTTTTATTGCGTTTGTTGAGTGCGGAGTGTGGCGCCGCGGCCTGACTTCATCGGCGCGGCGACGGAGGCCTAGCGGGCCTAGCGGGCCTAGCCCAACGGCCAACTCTTGCAGTTTGCCAACTGCGCCGCTGTACGCACCACTGTACGGACCGAACAGTCGCCTCTGGACACGTGGTCGAGCGATTCCGGAGAGGCGTTCCGTCGCTCTGTCTCTCTCGCACCCGCGCATTTCAGGAGAGAAAGAGACAGACTGAATCAGCCCCGCAGGTGCGAATGGCTGTTGACAGTGTCACGGCTCACTCCGCGGAGCGCGGCGAGGCGAGCAGGTCGCGCCGCCTCCTCCTCCTCCTTCTTCTTCTTCTTCTCCTTCTTCTTCTCGGTCGTGGCTGCCGCGCCTTAAAAAGCGCCGGCCGAACCGCGTAATATGATTTACGGGGGGCGGTGCGGCCGCGTGGAGCCGCGCGTGGCCGGCGGCGCGTTTCGGCGCCAAAAATGAAAGAAGACCGTAATCCAAGATGGCGCCCGCGCCCATTTGTTTCCCCGGGGCACATCTTAAATTATCGTGTGTGTGTGTGTGTGTGTGTGTGTGTTTGCGCGCAGGGCTGCTGGAGGAAGACAGCGTGTTGGTGCTACCCACACAGTGACGCACTTTGATGTGCGTGGCCGGGTGACTGACGTGGTGCCTTTTCGGCCGGGACTTCCAGTGCGGGCCCTGTTGACAAAGCACGCCGCCACTAGGAGCCGAGCCGGGCGTTTTCGTCGCTCTGTCTCTCTCGCACCCATACGGGACGCCCCGTGAGTGCGAGAGAGACAGAGCGACGGAACCGACTCTCGGAATCAGTCCGCTGGTTCGTCCCGGCGGCCGGTTCCGGTCTTTGCTCCCCGGAGTCAATCTCGACCAATCAGCGAGAAGCTCGGCTGGCGTTGCCTCATTTCAAAGCGAGTGCACGCTTTACTTCCAGTGTCCCAGTGGCGCTGCTCGGCCCGTCTGTTTTCAGGGGGAGTGCTCGCCGCCGCCGCTCTCCGCCGCCCCCATGTCGTGATCGAAAAGGCTCAAGGCGGAGCCGTGGCGGAGCGCGGCGCGGCGCGTGGGCGGTTCGCGTCGCCTCGGCGTCGCCGGCGACACGCGCGGGCATAAAGTCCTTCGCCGGCGTGCCGGCGCGGGGAATCGAACCCGAGCTAGATCAACACGCGCTGCCTTATTCAATTCTCTCTCTCCCTCCCCTTCCCCTCCCCTCCCTCTTCCCCCTCCCTCCCCCTCTCTGCCTCTCCTCCCCTCCCCCCCTCTCTCTCTCTTGCACTCACACCGCGTGCCCACGTACCACACACGCAGACGCGCGCGATCTCTCTCCCTCACACACACGCAGACACACAGACACACGCACACACACACTCACACCGGCGCGGCAAATCCCCGCCTTGGCATGCAGTCCGTGTCTGGCGGGGCTGCGCGGCGCACTCACACCTCCACGTGACGGTTTGACGAATCGCTTCCGCCATTGTCATGGGCGGCCATACGCCCACCCCTTGTACCCCCGCCCTCATTGTGTGTACACCTTCAGGAGAGAACATCTTACCGCCCCCCCCCCTTGCCCGGTCCGTCTTTCCGTCGGGGGCTTACCACCGTCACCGCAAGGCGCCTCTCTCTCTCTCTCTCTCTCTCTCTCTCTCTCTCTCTCTCTCTCTCTCTCTCTCTCTCTCTCTCTCTCTCTCTCTGCCTCTCGAGTGCGTGAGAGAGATAGACGCTCTCGGAATCGGTGGGCTTTGCGCCGTCCCCTACAGTGTCCGTCCGCGCGGGTCAAACCGCCCGGTCATCACCTTTCGGTGTTACAAATTTCTCGAGCGGCGGACCGATTCCGAAAGAGTCGCTCTGTCGCTGTCGCGCCTCCTCGGGGCGCCGCGAGTGCGACGGAGACAGAGCGACGGGGCGGCTTTTCGGAATGAGTCTGGGCGACTTGAGCCCCGCTTGGTTGCGCGGCAGCCACCTGGTTCCGAAGGATTGCCACGTCGCTCTGTCTCTGTCGCACTCACGGGGACGTCCGTAAGGGTGCGAGAGAGAGGGACGGTCCTTCGGAACCAGTCCGCCGCCCGGCGAACCGGAGTCACTCCAGTGGAGTGGAGGGCCCCCGGCGGGGCTTGGCGCAGGCTTGCCGCTGGCTCGGCGCAGGCTGCCCGAGGGCCGTACAGATGTGATGACGCCGGGATTCGAGCCCTGCCTCTTCATTCGCTACACTATCGGCCCCCTCACGATCTGGCGGCAGTGGCGGCAGCGGCGGCCACGCCCCCCTTCGGCACGTCAGCCTCGCCGCCGCCGCGCTGCAGCGCCCACACTGCCAATCTGATGCACCGGGGCGAGCGAGCGAGGCCATTTCGGCAGGTGTAACAGGTGCGCGTCGAGCCGCCGAGAGAAGTGAGGTTAGGGTTGACAGAGACAGAGTGGCGCGTGCGGAGGTTGTCTCGCATTGACAAGGCGCTGGGATGATAACCCGTTCTCGGCCCACCCTCGGCCCCGAGCCCGGCCCAGTCAAACAACATGGGGCGGGGCGGGGCGGGGCGGGGCGGGGCGGCAGGCAGACGCCTCCACCTGCCAACTTTTCCAAGGAGCTGTTTAGGCAGGGAGCTTGCTCATCTTGCCGCCAACTTGTTCCAGGGCTGCGGAAAGTCTACCCGTACTACTTCACCTTCACCACGTTTACCAAGGGCCGCTGGGTCGGCGAGAAGATCCTGGACGTGTTCGCCAGGGAGTTCCGGGCGCACCCCGCGGAGGAATATGTAAGTTAAGCAGAGCGCGCTGAGTCTCTATCTCTCTCTCGCTTGCTCGGATGGTAGGGGGTGCGAGAGAGACGGAATGAACCCCTTTTCCGTTTGCGCAGGAGCGGTGCATCAAGGGTGGCACCTTGACCGTCAACTACGAGAAGGTGGACGTCGACTACAAGCTCAAGCACAACGACCTCCTGGCCAACATCGTCCACAGGTAATTTCCCCACAGGACTTCCCGAAAAAAAAGTCGTAAAAAAAGAAGATAATTGATTTGCAAATAATTGTTAAGATGTTGGCCGTGTTGTTTTCTGAGCCGGCCCTCGGCCACAAAGGGCCGAAAGAACAAAAGGGCTGGAAGGGCTGCAAGTTTGGCCGTCCTCCAATTAGGAGCATGCTGCCCTTCCCTCGACCCTTTCGCCGGCAAAGGCCTGTCGGCTCCTCGGATGCAGCGGCATGTGTTCCCCCGACTTTAAACAGTGTTTTCCAAAACTTTGCAGGATTTTTGTAGAAAACCAATTTTTTTCACTTCTAGTATTCAAACATTTTTTTTTTCGTTTTTTTTTTATAATTTTTTTTTTTCCATGTATTATTTTTTTTGAGATGGTGGTCTGGTAGTTTAAAAGAAAAAGAATGTCGAAGAAGTTAGTCCTTTCCACGGCGCCTTGGCGATTGTGTGTGTGTTCCATTTGCATCTTGGCGTTGCGTAGTTTGGACCCCTTTTGCTCCTCCGTCCAGGGTGAGATGACAGTGGCATACTTGATTAAGTCGTCTGCCGGGACGAGGGGTTGTCCACAAAATCCGTACCGACGGGACCCTTTGTCCCCTGGAGCAACCTACACCGCGAAACTTGAGCGAAAATAGAGGCACTGTCGGTATTCGAACCCACGACCTTTATCCTCGCTCTTTTTCTCGCCCTTCTCTAACGAAACTTCCCGGAGAAAATTCCATAAAGGAACGCAGTGCTCTGTCCTCCCCGTAGCATCGAGCTTGAGACACTCTTCGCCTACCCTGGTGTGCTGTGCCCCCTCACCACAGTGCAGTGGACCCGAAGGAAGCGCGGGGAAGTCCCTTGCATGCCCGTAGCGAGGCTAGCCAGGCTAGCTAGCCTGCCACGACTCTTGCAGCACGAGGACAAAGCGGCATGCCGTGTGACGTGACGCGTGTGTGACGATGCCTGCTGTGACTAGGCGTGACTGTTACAGACACGAGGTGCCCGTCACAGCGGAGCCCATCTCCATCGTGCACATGGACGGCGACGTGGTCGTCGTAAACAAACCCGCCTCCATACCCGTAAGTGACGTCAGTGACGAGGCCTAGTTGATGTTCGTCACGCACGTCTGCATGCGCCACTTTTGCACGCCACCGCTTTGCTGTTGTTGTTTGTTGTTTTTTGTTGCACTGGCTGGGCATCTACTGTCCCACTGTAAACTGTTTACCATAGTGTTGACAACACGGGGTAGGTACCAGGTCGTATTGCATGAATTAACTGTCCTGTCGACTGTGTCGTCGTTCTCTTCATAAAACACATAGCTTTAATATTAGGTCCTGCGATGCTTTCTCTGCTTCATTCTAAAATGGCGAGAGAAAGGGTTAACAAAGGAAAGTCTTCTTCCACGTTTTTTTATGTCGTAGAATAATCCCAAATGAAAGAGATTTTTTTGTTGTAATTTTTTTTTAATGAAACGCCGCTGTCCGTCTTTTTTGTGGTGTTGCGTAATCCTATCATTTTGTGTACTGAATGACGAGGAGGTATTTGAGTGTTAATATTCTCTCTCTTCCAGCCTGAATAGAAACACGACGTTATTAAAAAGGCCGCTGGGCGTTGGGGCGGGAAAAGGAAGGGGATGCACTGCCCCCCACCCCCACCCCCACCCCAACCGCGGTCTCGAGGCGACAAAGAAAGCGTGTCGCCACCGAGTTGTCGGATTTCTAATCACTTCCGTCGCGTCGTTAATTACGCGTTCATTGTTTTAGCCAGTGTCCTGGCAGTGTCCTGGCGGTGTCCTGGCAGTGTCCTGCCCAAGGCGTCTGCGTTGCCGTTCCCACAGGCCAGCCAGCCAGCCAGCCAGCCAGCCATGGACCAGATTCGGGACGCGACGAGCGCGGTTGTCGGAGGCGGAGGGGTGGGGGTGTCAGGTGGACTCGGCTCGGCTCGGCTCGGCTCGGCCGCTACCAGACATGGCCCAATTTGCCGCCACAACAGACAACAGTCGCCGCTTTCGAGATTCGTGGGGTGGCCGCACTGTACAGTGGGCCAGAAGACCGGCGGAGGCGGCCAAAATTCGCTCGAGAGCCGCTAAATGGGACTCGAACCGAACGTGTGACCCCACGAATGGATTTGCTCTCCGAACGAGGAATCCATTGGTGGGGTCACACTTTCGGTTCGAGTCCCTTTAGCGACTCAGGAGCTCAAAACGCGTCTGAAATTCTGACCGCCTCCACCGGTCTTCTGGCCCACTGTGGGGTGTCGGCTGTGCCTGCACTGTATATATACGGCGTAATCAACCCCTCAGCCGGTCCGTTCTAATCCTTATCACAATGCGAGGCCGCCACCTCTGGCGTGCGTGACAGCGACCCGGTGTCGTGTCGCCGATGATCACCGCGGTGGCCGCCGACTCCATTTCCAGGGCCTTGATGAGCTGCGGGAGGCGAGGCCGAAACCCGAACCGACCCGCCGTGTCTGACGACGGCCTGAACGTCACTGTGTGTTTAGGTTTTTGGCAGTGGTGGCGCCATCTCGGCGGCCGCGGCGCGCACTCGGTGTCTGGCAAGAGCGACGCGGCGCCTCGCAGCGCGGTAGGGCCGCCCCGGCGGACCAGTCTCATTTGCATATTGACCTCTCTGCTCCTCGTCGCCTGCGTCCTCCTCCTCGTTTCCTTTCCCCCTTCTTAGTCGTCTGTTCTTTTCCCCGCGAGACGGACAGACCACTGCACTGCTTGAAATAACAACAATAATGTCCAGCGTGCCGCCGCGCTGCCGCCGCCGCCGCTGCCGCCGCCTCCACATCGAAATCACTGTCATGGAGCTGATGTGTCTAGGTGGCCGTGATGCGGGCTACCCCGCCCCTTGCTTCTTACAGGCACGAGACTCCTGTGTTGGCTAAGCGCATTCGCCTGGTACATGTAGACGAGGACATTGTGGCCCTGGACAAGCCGTGCTCTCTACCGGTGAGTACGCAGCGCTGCAGTGGCGTAGCCAGGCCGCGTAGCCCGGCGTAGCCAGGCGTAGCTAGACCCCCTCCCTCCCCCTGACGCACCGGGACCGCGCCAGGGCCGGGCCAGTGGCGGGGGGAAAGTCGGCAACGCTGGGACCCGAACCCGGAGCCGAGGCAGCGGTAGCGCCTGCGAGGTCCAGGGTAGGCAACTCCGGGACGGGCGAGTGTGGCGGGCTGGCCTACCGTCGACTTCGCAGGCGCTCGCCCTAGCTCCGACAGTGTACTGGCCCTCGAGGCCGGCACGGTTCGGTGTGGTTTACGTTTCCATCCACTGGCCCGGCCAGGCTGGGCGCATCGCAGTGTGTTCGCCGCCGGCCTTGAAACGCACTGGGACACACAGTGTAGTGGTTGTGTGCGTGAGTGTGTTGCCTTCTTTTGCCTGGGAGCTGGAAGCGGCCTGCGTGCCGCACCCGCTTTCCGAGCCAGCGACAAACGGCTACACTGTCGGACAAACGAGCCGGCCCAAAACAATAACAAGCACTAACGTTTGCAGTGATGTGTGTTCCCCGCTCCCGCTGCCAGTGTGGCGTACTCGGGGACGCGCGCGTCGGTCGCGTCGCTTCGGAGTGGCTAAACTCGGCCGCACCGCCAAACTGCTGCGTGCGCCCGCTGCCCCGCTCCAGGCCCTGGCCGACCCCGAAGAGTCTGCGTCGCTCTGTCTCTGTCGCACTCACGGCGCGGCCCGGAGGGTGCGAGAGAGACAGAGCGACGAAGCGACTGTTCGGACTCGCCGGCCGGGGACGGGTAGGGCGGCGGGTCCGTGGGTCTGGACGGCGCGCGCGGTTCCCCGGCCTCCGGGGCAGCCCCCGGCCCGGCACCCCACCATGTGACCTAAACAAGGCCCAGCTCCCCCGCCCTGGCAGCCCTCACCGCCCCGCGCAGCCCCGCGCAGCCCCGCGCAGCCCCGCGTCCGTGTTTCAGCCCTTCTGTCTTGTAACGCCCCCCCCGCCCCGCCCCGCCCCGCCCCGCCCCGCCCCGCCCCTGCTGCCAGCAGCATGCTGTTCGCACCTGTGGACACGAATGTGAACCTGTTCGGTTAGCGAGGGCTGTGTCCCCTCCCCCCTCTCTCCCCTCCACCACAACACCAGTCCCCCCTTCCCTGCCTCTCTTTAAAAGTAACTAAAACAGTAATTCTAACTTAGACTTTCAGCCACCCCGCCCCCCTTCCCACAACCCTCTCACTGCAATTCAAAATAAATCACCATAAAGAAAGTAGCCCCGGAGTGTCGCATTATAGTCCTGGAAATACTTGAGAAATGTGTCCCTCCGTCACGACTGCACGGCAGTCCGCGAATCCCCACGACGCCGCCAGACCGGCAGGGGACGCCGCGGACCCGCACTGCACGGACCTCCAGAATAACTTTGGCCGGAATCGAAAACACACGGTTCTCCGTGAGTCGGGCATTATTTCTCTTGATGCTGCGTCACTCCACCAGGAAAATCCCTCGCTTCCCGAGTCGCTTGTCCGAGTCGGTTTGTTGTGCGCTGCGTTTTCAGGACCAGAGCCAAGCGGACGGGGGAAAAGGAAGGGGGAGGGGCCTCGGAGCCGCCGCCATGTGTGTCTGTATTTGCTTTCCAGAGTCAACTTCTTCTCATCCTTCCTCTTTACCCGCCGTTTGCTGTTGTTGCTTCGGACGATGACGGATCCTTGACGTGTCTGGGCTCCAGTCCTCCTTTGCGCCGTTCGTAGTCGACACGTTGCTCTCTGTCTCTCCCCGTAGTGGTGCTGCCCCTGTTCTAGACGCAGTAGAAATCCGCATGCCAGTGGGGTTGACGGACTCCGCCGCCAGAGCGAGAGCGAGACCGCCTGCACCAGAGTGCGAATCCGCGTCGCCTCTGATTTGCAGTCGCCTGCTGTTCGCACTGTTTACCTGGCGCTGCGTTGCGCTACATTTCTCATACTGCGTCGACTCTCTCTCTCTCGCTCTGGCGGCGGAGTCGCCCGGATCCAACCTCACTCCTTTTGTGCCGTGGTAATTCTATTCCTGCTTTGTTTGTCTTTCGTCGTGTCGAATTTCTGGCACTGTGTAAAGCCACAGGTGCGTCGCATGCAGTGGCATGCAGTGCAGTGACATGCAGTGCAGTGGCACGCGGTGTGTAGCGCGTTCGCATGGTAGGTGCATTGTCGTCCCTTGTCTGCATGGTGCTGCATGCATTGCGCGCGAGCTTCCGCATGGTGGTCAATGTTGGTCAATGTTTCAGCATGGCCCATGGTCGTAAAGTTGACTCGTGTTTTCTCTTACTGAGATCATGTGTTTCCATTTCTCGAACGTCATGTCGCGTCTCGGCCAAGCTGTGGCGCACTGCCGCACTTTGACTGAGCCACGCTGCGTTCAAAATTCATAAGCATTTCGAAAAATAAGAAATTTGTGTAGCAAGTGCGGTATTGTTGGTGTGCGTTGCCAGTCGGAGTGATGTGCCTCTGTCCCCCACAGGTGCACCCGTGCGGCCGCTACCGCCACAACACCGTGGTCTTCATCCTGGCCAAGGAGTACAACCTGAAGAACCTGCGCACCATCCACCGGCTGGACCGGCTGACTAGCGGGCTGCTGCTGTTCGGACGCTCCCCCAAGAAGGCGCGCCAGATGGAGCACCAGATCCGGAACCGGCAGGTGGCCAAGGAGTACGTCTGCCGCGTGGAGGGCGACTTTCCCGAGTGAGTGAACCAACCAGTGTACCCGCACTGCAAAGAGCGCATTCGAAAACAGCGCGCTGATGGGCTTGGGTTGTTCCAGCGAGGAGATCACCTGCACGGAGCCCATCGAGGTCGTGTCCTACAAGATCGGCGTGTGCAAGGTGTCGGCCCGGGGCAAGGAGTGCGCCACCACGTTCAAGAAGCTCGGCTTCAACCAGAGGACCAACACGAGCGTCGTGCTGTGCAAGCCGCACACCGGCCGCATGCACCAGATCAGAGTGCACCTGCAGTTCCTAGGTGAGTTACAGTCGGCCTCCGGGTTGGGCGCGTGGCCTATGCTGGCGGTGGCAGGGGTCCCCGCCCGCGCCACGGTCCCGCTGACGACTAAATCCGAATGTGAATGGCAGGTTTCCCGGTGGTGAACGACCCGCTGTACAACCACGTGGTGTTCGGGCCCAACAAGGGCAAGGGCGGCCTGATCGGCAAGGCGGACGACGAGCTGATCCGCGACCTGGTCAACATCCACAACGCCGAGAACTGGCTCGGCATGGACGGCGACTCGGACCTGTCCATGTTCAAGCCGCTGGCCCGCGACCTGGAGGAGGACAAGGGTGAGTTGACGGCCCGGCGATTCATCATGCGCAGACTCGCAGTGCAGGCAACGCTCCCACTCACGCCCCGTGTCTCTCTGCGCCACAGGTGACGACGACGACGGGGACGTGAGCCGAGAGCCGTCGCCGTGCGGCTCCTGCGAGGACAACTCCGGGCCCGCCTGCATGTCTCCCGGCCTGCACAACAACAACAACAACACTAGCGCCCTGAACAACAACAGCAGCAACAACAGCCACGCTGCCATGGCCAGCCTGCCCTCCGCGGGGGTGTCCTCCGGCCTGGTCGGCACTGGTGCCAACAACCACCACCACCACAACAACAACAACAACAACAAGGTGACGGTCGCCACGCAGACGGGCCACGAGTGCCCCGACCTGGCCTTCCAGCAGGACAAGATGAGCCACGACCCGCACTGCTACGAGTGCAAAGTGCGCTACCGAGACCCCAAGCCCAGGGACCTCATCATGTACCTGCACGCCTGGAAGTTCAGAGTGAGTACCCGCACTAATCAGTTGGCTCCTCATTGAAAGGAGAGTTCAGATGCACAACTTTAAGCCGGAAACCGCTTGTTTAACAATGCACTCTTTGCTCTTTGTCCGCAGGGACCTGACTGGTCTTACGAGACGGAGCTGCCGGACTGGTCAAAAGTCGACTGGTGCGAACCAGATGACTAGACACATATTTTGGCCGAATAAAATCACGAGATCAATGCTTGATCTCATGATGTTATTGATGACCAACTTAATATTTTGGGAGTCTATGCTTGGTTGTAATGAAGCAAGACAACAGAATATACCTCTAAATGCCATTTTATCACTGGTACTGGGTAAAGTCTTCGGGTGTTTCAAGCAGCAGAAGACTATTCTTTCAATTCTATTTTTAGTTCAAACCTCGGCCTGTGGCGTGATATCATAAATTATTAGATTAATGTTGTGTGAGGCAATTCCCTCTTGTGTTATCTTTGTAGTATGTGGTTTGTTCCTTCCGTTTCTTTTTATCTCTTGAAACGAAATGTTAGGTAATTTTAAGTCGTGTTTCATTTCCCATCTTTTGCTTTCTATCTATCTGCCATTCCGACAACTCCATTTCCTTGCTTTTCTATCCGTCTTCCTATTATACCCGGGGTATCTTCTCTTACTTCTAATGTAATTTTATATCTCTCTATTGTTTAAGGAATGATGAGAATTTTTGTGCTGTGAAACCAGTACTTGCATAAAGTTAGAGAAGACTCTTGGTTTTAGTCTAGATGTGAGCTTCACGGAGCTCTGCACTATTTGTTTGTTCGGAAAGTGAGTAGCATTTGTTCAAACAAATGCACTGCACTTTTTTAAATGTCAGTTTATGTACCAAACAATTCCTTTGAAAATTGTATATATTGTTGTTTAGGATTGAATTATTGTTTAGGCATTGCCTAAGTTATTTGCAAAGCCATATTAACTTTTGGAAATTGCTGATTTGTTGCACATAAGAGCTTTGTAAACAGCTCGTAGAAAGTTCTAACTTAATACAATGTGTATTTTCAGGGATGTTTGGGGGGAATGAATTTTTGAGTCTAGCTCTAAGTGTCTTGTTTCATAGAGTAAGTGTGAATGTGAAAGTTTCATTTAAATTTTATGTGATGAACAGATTCAGACCAAAGGGTGATGTGAAGGTTCATGATTCAGCCATCTACCTACATTGTATTTTTGTAATTGCTATTTTTTAATAATACTGTGATGACTTGAGGGGAAATTTCTGCTAGCTAATGGTCAGACATAAGCTTGCCCCTTTTTCATGTTGGTAGTCTGTAGATGCCTGCCACATGAGTGTCCGACCAATCATGTTGTAAATGACATTTAAATTACCATATGGCCCATTGTACAGAAAATTGTCTTCATCACAAGGGAAGTGAGAACAAAATATTGTATCATCTCAATTACATGGAGTCCTGAGATCAACAATACAGGGTGTCCCAATCACCTCTGTCAAAGGGTGAGTGGGACGTGCCAAAAATTTCACACGTCTTTCTTTCTTTTTCACAGAAATTGTACCAATGCTTTGCAGAATGAATTTTCTTCCTAAAAGTTTCCAGATTACTCCTAGACTATTCCCTTAGTTATTTTAAAAAATAGCCTGCATTGAATGATGTTGTAGAGATGTACAATGAATTTTAAAACTCGTAGAAATTTGAGTGATGTGTCAATGCATCAAAGGTAGATTGACTGTACAGGGTTTTATAGTTAATCAGGTAACTATGATGTTGTTAAGTAGGGAGCCCAAGGCCTGCAGGTGCATAAATCTGAAACTATGTCTAATTAACGCCAGTGCACTCAGAGAACAATTCAAGTGTTTTTTGTTGTATTTATTTTTAAATCCATAAAGAAAGCCTGCTCTCCTTCCTTTTCAAATGATGCTTGTTTCAGACGAATTGTCAAATATCTAAGTTAATTAAGGTAAAATCTTAAAAAAAACTGTTAGTATTTTTCAGCAAAATTTTGCTTTATATGAAAAGATAGCTGAAAAATCATCATGTACATAAATTTAATTCATGTTTTGTACCTACATGTAGAAGACAAAATTTAACCAAATGAGGAATTAACTTTTATTATGAAAGCAAAGCTTCAATCATAAATTATTTTTTTCATATAACATTTGGCTTCTTATAGATACTGAGTATCAAAAAATATCTCTGAAATTTAAGTGTATTGAAATTAGATGATATGTCTATTTTAAAATGTTTTAGCATAGTTGTTACGCCAGGGTGATTTTCTTTTAGTGAAAGATTAGCTATAATTTGTGTGACTGTGTGTGATTTAGATGTCAGTAAGTGAGAGAGTGAGTATGAATGTGAGTGAGTTGTATCTATGGACTCAGTATAGCAGCACTAGGCTGAGATCAGCCTCCTCTCTTGACAAAATTAAAAGTGGAATCTTTTTATTTTGCAGTAAAAAAGGGTTCATTATGAGGCAAGTCAACACTAAGTGAAAAAAAAATGTTCTATCTGTACTGAAATAAACCTCATTAAAACTCATTCTTTCACTTTCATTTACTAAGAAACTACTGCAAGTCAGCAGAGCTTGATTTCTACAGTAGATATTATGAATCTACCAACATGGACTGCATCTAAGACAGGGTGTCTAATATTTTTCAGATCTATTGTGAGAGTGGCAATTTTAATTGTCCTGCACTAAGTGCTGCTTTGATGTGTCATTATTTTGTAAGAGGATGGAAAGGTTTCATAGTATTCAGTAACCCAGATGGTCTTTTGTAAGTCGGTTACAGAAACTGCTGTATTCTGGAATCTTGCCAATGGATGCTATCGTTGCATCATTTAAAAGTCTTTCCATCCTGGATTGATCATATCCTTATGACTTCCCGATACCATAAAATATATGTTCATAAAGTGGAATAAATTGATGTATTTGTCAGAGTATTAGACTCTTGACTGATTCATTTGCATGCGGACAATCTCCATTGGCTGCCTCGTTGCAGTACAGGATTCTGCTCTTATTTAGACAGACATTAGCCATGAGCATCACTTTTTATGATTTTGTGCAGTCATTTAGACATGAAATTAGGCCACAGTTAACAAGTAACATAAAGGTCCAGATGAATGTGCATCATATTTTTGTTACAGTAGATCAACAATATTCCTTTAATTGAAGAGAGGTTGTGAATAAATACCGTAATGATTGATGTGTTTCAAATTGAATGCATTCCAGCAAACTATAACATCATTAACAAAATGTCTGTGTTGGATTTAGATTTATTCAGCTAGCTGAAGGTAGAGTGAATTTGGATTCTGTAGATAAATCAATCATGTGTAGGTTTGCCAAGTTTTCAGTAAGCAGAACTTCTTAGTCCTGGTTTGCTTCTTTGCCAGCTTATGAGCACATGCAACTCACAATTTCTTCTTAAATTTCAGGGTATGTTTCGAATTGATATCATCTAGATAGTTATACTTGTCATCTGAAAGGAAAACAGTCTTGTCTGCTGCTTAATTTTTTTTTGTCAAATATTGTGTGGTCACCTGTTTTTGTTTTTCCCCTGCAAAACGGAAGTGCAATTTTGCTTTCGAGCAAAGAAAGAACCCCTTACTTTCATTTAAGGTGATGAGTGCTACGCTTTAAAACACTCCTCCACAACCCCTTGCGCAAGTCCTATTTGATGCCAAGATGTGATGCAGTTTCTTTGTAAGAAACGCTAGTGATATTATCGACAATGATTCACATCCCATTTTTTAATGTTGTTGTAATTATAACTATTATAATTGTCATTATTATTATTATAAATATTATTACTATTGCTTATAATTGTTTTGGTGAGTGCTCTGAACAGATGTTACTGTATTTGTTCTCTCTTTTTTTAACGATTGAGTACTTATTTTTAAAGCAGTTGCTGTAATAGTGGAAAGAAAAGCAGGTTACTTCAGCAATACTTCAGTTGTTTCCTGAATACATACTCATGGTTAGATATGTTGATTCAAACTGGTAGATTTATTTATTTATTTTGTGGAGGCCCTGTTAGACCAACTCCTCTACTTTTCCCTGTGCAGTAATTTTTAAAAATTTCACATATCAGTGAATGTTAGATGCAAACTGTCATCAGTATTGATAAGGTCTTTTGGTGTTTGTTTTACCTTTCCCCACAAAACAAATTTTAATTGAGTCCTACTTTTTTTCTATCCAAGATCTGTAGTTATTAGACTTGTCCAATGGGAACATTCAGTTTGCAAATTTGATACTGAACAGTGGCGAAGTGGCTTCTTTCTTTTGCTGGTCTGTGACTGCAGTCACACCTGAAGCTCGTCATTTAGCAGATGCTATTCTCAGTTGTGTATACAATGGTGTGTACAAAATCTAAGTTGATCAAAGCAAAGCAACATGCATCCCTAAATTTTTGGGATGGTGCAAACAACAGATGTGATACTAAGATGATGCATTGTTTATAAGAGCCTGATTGGATAATTCTGCTGAGACAATTTTAATTGAATCTTAAATATTAAAATATAAATTTAAGTAACAGGTTTAATGAGCTGTAAGTGATCATGTTGTATAGTTACATTTTAATAAAGGAAATGAAAGTTATTTGGTATGTTTCTTTATTTTCCTTTAAAAAAAAAACCTACGCTATGGTCATTGAAACACACTCCAGTCTTTACTTTACAAGGAATACATATGTACAAATACACAAAATTAAACTAGTTAAACAAAACAAAAGTTTCCAGATGCCTTAGTTCTAATGAATTAGCATCTGTCACATGGGTCAGCAAACTCAGGATGGGTAGGGCACATATCAAAGCACCAAATCAATTGGCTGGAACTTGGTGCAAAAATAAGTCCGATTGATCAAGGGTACTCATCAAGGGGTGAAGTGATGCTCATGACAAATCTTCATCATCATATAAGTCATCAAATTCTGCAAAAGGCACAGTTACAATTGTAAGAGAAGTGTGAAGGCCTCTTAAAAATTGAGTAGTTGTAATGACAATCAGATTCACAAGGTTAAGAAAGACTAGAAGTTGTGGATAAGTCTCTCATTCAGATGAATGAGAGATGAGCATTGAACGTGCTTTAGCTGATATGTCTCTCAAAACAGTCTCTTTCCTAGCAAATAACCTTGTGAGTCATCCTCAAAATGAGACTAAATCTACCAAAATGTTAAACCAGTAGACTACTTACGGTTGAAGAAATCCGTGTGAACCGACTTCTCATTGGCGGCTAGGTCCATCAGAAGTCCACTGGAGCCACCAGGCTGCAAACCGCAAAGATTTGTTAGAACACTCAAACCTGATATAAGTTTATTGACATTTCAGACAGCAAAACGTATCAATAGACCAATATTAGCTTGGACTATGGATGAGAAATGACATCCAAGGCACTGTGCGGTTTAATCAGTTAGCCGACAAAATAGAAAGCAAACAAACCATTGTCCAACCAATGGCTTATAGCACCACTACTGGCTAATGACCAGTAACACAATGCACAGAAAATATAGGAACAGGAACAATGACACTTTAAGACAACAGAATGGGGAGGTTAGGTCCTTCCCAAGGGAAACCAAGCTGTAAAACAGGTACCTCATCTATGTCCATGTATGGACCAGCGCCTTCGGGGAACATTTCATCCACGACCACGTTGGGCTTCATGCTTGAATCCTGCTTCCTCTTCCAAAGGCCCCTTTTGCGTGGGGCTGGAACTAAACGAATCCTGTCTCGAGAGGGTGAAGACGACGCAGCCGCTTGTGCTTGGAGGGGTGCAGAGACGTCGGGGTCCTGGTCTTCGGCTTCGGCCATCACTAGACCCTCGTCGACGTCCATGGTTGATTGGAAACTGTGTCAGCCCGACTGGCAGTCACCGCGTTCTGCTGGGCAACGTGTCTGTCACGGCACAGAAAACAGACAATTTTGGAGCAAAATCATAGTCGAAAAGTGAACGGGAAGGTTGGCATTCATGGCACCTTGATCTGCAACTTTCTTTTCTTTATTTTTTAGCTGCAGTTTCTGCTTTGTGCGGTGTGCTGCCGAGTCAAATTTCATCGGAAAAGTTAAAACAAAATGTAATAAATGCTGTGTTGAGTTCAAATTAGCCAGTTACATTGCTTGCCACAAAAAATACACAGACATTGCTAAGCAGAGTTTGAATTTCCCGCTAACAATTTTCTCCTTCGTGTGCACCTGCATTCGAGTTTTTCCTTCGTCACTGACACTCGCTAAGGGCGTCAGGAAATTAAATTTTCTCGTGTTCTAAGAACTAAAATACTTCTTCACGTTCACAAATCGAAGTAAATTAGAAAATACGAGGCAGTGAAGTTGTGATTTGTCTTTTGCATGTTGGCTCTTCCGTACTATTGCTTTTCGCGCCCTTCTACAGCTGCATTTCGAAAGTTGACAAAGCAGCCCGGACCACATGTCTGACCGTTGGATCTCGAGGCTTGATTCACACAAATAGAAACTTGGATTTTAAACAATCTGAATAGAATGGGGGCTTAACAAATGTCCCTTGATCTTCTTTGAACAAGGATGAGCAAGTCCCTTTCACTCTGCCAACAGCTCTACACGAAATGTGGGACACGTTTTCCAAAACTTTGGACGTTTTTGTTGACGCGCGACAATTTTGAATAGAAAGATGGATACTTGTTTTTATTACAGACAATATTTTAACCTAAACGTTAACCTAAAAAAATGCCCAGTAAATTCATTTAATTTATGTATGTTGGTATGTGATTTAGCTGCGCGCGCAGGTACTTGGCGGGCTTGGGTTCAATGAATGAAGGGCCCAAGTAGACCTTCCACGAGTGTCTTTTAATGTTGATTATATCTCGCTTTTGTTAGTTGCGCTGAAAAAGCTCATGCAGAGCTTCCTTAATGTACGGTTATTTTTCGGGCGGTGTGACGTAGTTGTTACATGCGCAGATTTAAAACTTACTGCGCAATTTTTAATGCGTTTTTTTAGAGGGTAGAGTAGGCACACATCCGCACGTAGGATGGTGGCATGCGCAAAATGAGAAAATCCGAAGAAATGGAAACATTGAAAACGCTTTGATCCACTCCCGAGCTTCAGCGATCAGATCAAAACCAGGCGGTCAAGCAGGCCAGCCCGCATCACCTTTGAGTACGCTGCGGCAAGCGGCAAGCTGCAAGTTCGTTGAGCTAAGCAGGACGTCGAAGATGCTGTTCCCTCAACGCCACGCGTTGACTACGCTGCCATCTTTGACGCCGCGCCGCTAGTAACCTAACGCGGATTGGGCGGCAAGTGTTTTTTTGTGTGATAGCCGTTACTAAATCCCGAGTTTTGGCGTGTATTTCAATTTTATTTTAAGTGCAATTTTTAAGATTCCGGTCCGTTAAAAGTGTTCATCTTTGCTGGCGCAACTCTTTAATCTGCGGCTGGCCTTTTTCGAAGTGAATAATCATTTCTTTGGTGTCATGGCGGCGTCCCAAATGAGCCAATCACAGGCGTCGTCTCATTGCGGTTAGGACGCTGTCTTTTCGCCTGCTATTTCGCGTCGGTGCGTAGAAATTGCCGCGCGCATCGATTTGTTCAGTGCTTGTGTTGTGATACCTCCAAAACAAATGTGAGGGGCTGATTACATACCTAAGTAGTGTCTGAATCGTACTGGTGGCGCGATTTGCGCCCAGGGGGTTGCTTGGTCACGTGACTTGAGTGAAAAATGGCGCAAAGACCAGACTGTAAACATGGATTACGTTTTCGTGTAGTTGTGTCATTACTATTTGTATACAATGAAGTGTTTGTGTGAACCACGTGTGATATTGTGATCTGTGCTCGACGTCAAGCTACCAAGATGACTGGAAGAGGAACCAAGCGGAGGGGGCGGCCCCCAAAATCCGTGGTGATGGAAAGGCCAAAGAAGTTTCAATACCATCTCATGAAGAAGCCAAAGTACCTTCTTAATCAGCAAGGTACTGGTCAAGAAACCCCCAGCTCGCAGCCGAGTACCCCAACACAGTCCCGAGCTTCTTCCCCTGTCACTCGGGACCGGCGGAAGAAACGAGGTCGAGGCGGTAGAGAACATTCAAGGAAGGGCAGAGGAGGAGGTTATGGCTCGAGGAGAGGTTATAACCCGGACGCTGTGGAGAAGGATTCAGACTACCATTATGGCTCTGATTTTGGTGATGAGTCTAGTGGGAAGAGTGAAGAAGACGATGATCTCAAGACTGAAAGTGAAGATAGTTTTGAAGGGGATGATCCTTCTAGTGACAGTGACTTCTCGCTATCTAGCTTCAGCACAGCGGATGGTGGTGCTCGTAGGTCTTATTATCAAAGGGCTCCCAGTCCTGAACCGTTATGGCTTCAGAACAGAGAACTCCCTCCCCTGGAGCTGCCCAAGCCATCAGAAGATTTGTTGGTTCCACGAGAACTTGTCATGCAAGCCTTGAGCATCTATGAAGTTTTGCGACATTTCAGAGCGCTGGTTCGCCTGTCTCCCTTCAGAGTCGAAGACTTCTGTGCTGCCGTCACATGTGAGGAGCAAAGCATACTTCTTGCAGAAATTCACACCACACTGCTAAAGGCTATCCTTCGTGAAGAAGATGCTCAGCAAACTCACTTTGGAGCGTTGGATCAAAAGGACACTGTTAATGTTACTCTTTTCTTTGTGGATGCCATGACATGGCCTGAAGTCTTGAGAGCATATGTAGAAAGTGACAGTAATTTTGATCAGAATGTTCTGGATCTTTTGAACAATTGTGAATACCCTTTTACAACCACTGAAACCAGGTTAAAGGTCCTTCAGTTTTTAACAGATCAGTTTCTCATCACCAACCCAGTTCGTGAGGATCTGCTTAGTGAAGGTGAGCAAACCTTAACTTTTTCGATAATGTTTTTACCATTTTTTACAATATTTTATACATAGTTTAGTTCTGAATATGTTAATATAATTTTCTGACATTTGTGGGGTCTGTTTTCAGTTAAATTCCATTATGATGACCATTGTCGAATTTGCCATCGCCTGGGAGACCTATTGTGCTGTGAAACATGCCCTGCTGTATTTCATTTGGAATGTGTTGATCCTCCTCTTGGAGATGTACCAACTGAAGACTGGCAATGTAGTCTCTGCAAGTCCCACAGGGTAGGACTTGTTTTCTTGTTCCTTTATTATATTTATCCAAATCTGGTCTTTATTCTTATACACATTCATTGTGCAGGTTCCAGGTGTGATGGACTGTATTCCAGATGTAGAAAAGAATGGCAACCTCTGCAGACAAGAACATCTAGGGTTTGATCGTCATGGCAGGAAATATTGGTTTTTGTGCAGGCGTTTATTTGTGTAAGTTCTAGATTAAACATTCATAGGACGCTTTGGCAATTCCTCTGTTCAGTGCCCATAATCTGTCCATCTTCTTACAGTGAGAGTGAAGGAGAGGAAGTTTGGTACTACAGCACACCAACCCAACTGGATGAATTAATCGATTCATTAGATGAAAATGATATGGAAGCTGCCCTTTGTAGAGAATTGAGTGACTTCAGAGAAGAAATGGTTCGGCAGATGGAAATAACTGAGAAACTAACTAGCCAAAGTAAAGGAAATAAAAAATCTTATTTTGATTATGAAAATGGTAGGTCTGAGAGGATAATCAATTTGAGAAATGGTATAAAATAGTCTTGCCATCTGATTTCAATGACTTCTCTCCTGTTTTAACAGCCCAAATTGTAAAGGCACAAAAGGAACGTGCCGAGCGCAAAATTAAGGAAGAAGAGGAGAGAAGGGAGAAGGAACGACGTGATCGTGAGGCTGCTGAGGCCCGCAGGAACAACATCATGATGGATGACGAATTGCCCTGTGATGAAGAAACCACTATTGAAGAAGAAGTTTCTTGTTCATCTCCTGTGACAGTTGTATGTTTAAACCTTCTTCTATTCTTTACAAAGTTCCGCCATTGCCTTTTTGCATCAATGTTTAAATTGTATGTGTTTTTCAGGAGACTACTGAGACTACAACCACCTTAACTAAAGAAACTGAGGATTCTGAGAAAGTTACTACCACATTCACACGAACTACCACTTCAACCACCACAGGTACAATTAGACTGGGTTATTGCACACTTTTTGGGATGATTAGAATTCTTATCTAACTTATCAATGTTTGTCCTTTTTTTTTTAGTGACCATGTCAAAGGGTGATGACAGTGGCCCAGACAGTGTTAAGAGTGAAGAGAAAGAAGAGGAGGAAGAAACAACAACCCGTAAGTGTGTCAGATGCAAAGCACTTAAGTAGCAGATTTTTTACCAATCTTTTAATTGTCCAAATGTTGTATAACAGGCCGCAGGGTTTCTGAAAGAGTGACACGGTCCAAAACTGGATCTTTGCAACCAAGAACATTTAATATGGATGACCTAAAGAGACGCAGCACAGCTATTACCTCTAAGGATGAGGAAAAAGATGGCCTTCTAGATAAAGAGACTAGGTTGACAAGGCTCAAAGCACAACAAATTGCTACTGGTATGTGTTTTAAAAATTATTATTCACCTTTTTTTTTTTTTTTTTTTTTCATTCTATGTTCCTTTTTTAAGTTTGCCTTATATTGGTGGTAAGTTGCTTCCATTGATGTCTTGACTTTGTTCTTTCAGGGACATTCTTATTTAAACTTGGAATGGAAAATGGGTTTAAAACCTATACCAATAACTATGCAACCAATGCAGCTGCTCTCAATAAACCACAACGTAATGAAGAAAGAGACAAAAAGAGACACCTGTCCCACAAATTTTCACTTACACCAGCTGCAGAGTTCAAGTGGATGGGTGCAACTCATGGTCATTAATTATTTCTACTTGTAAAAAGATGTCAATCGTCTTTAGTTTATTTTACTAAGATTTTGTTTTTTACAGGAGCGAGATCAATTCTTGTCAACACACTTCGTTTAACACTTCTTCAGTTAGAGTCAAGTATACAGCCGCCTTTCATGCACCCCAATTGGCATTTAATGAGGAAGCCATGGGTTGAAACTGTTGGAAAATGTATTAATCCCAAAGATTTTGCACGTGTTCTTACTGTATTATCAGTTTGCATCAAGCCTGTTGTGTATGCCTCTGTCTGGCATGATCAACTAGGCCATGTCAAGTTACAACGAATCACTGCTAATGATAGGGAAGAGCGGAAACGAATTGAAAAGAAGGAAAAGAAAGACAAAGAGGTAAATTGGTTCACAATGGTTGCCTTGCTTTCTTGTACTTATTATTACATACCCACAATTTAATTGTATGAACCTGAATTTTGATAACTGGAATGCATTCATTTTGTTTCAGGATGAAGAAGAGCGTAATCGCTTGACTTACAACTTTGTCAAGTACACTTTAGGCCTCAAACATCTGGTATGGAAGCAGAAGGGTGAGGAATATCGAGTCCATGGCCAGTGGGGGTGGTTGTGGCTCTCCACAGTTCGCAAATTTGTCATTCAGGACTGTCATAAGATGGGATTGAGAGCTGGTCCTCAGAAAATATTTGTGCGAGTTAAAGGTATGTGATTAGTTGTGTTTGGTCTTCATTTTTTTGTTTAGATCTCATCACCAGTGTTGTTTAAATCACTACTATCTTGTTTCAGATGACTCTGGGATGAAAATTCTGCAAGTTGATCCAAACACATACAAGTTTTTGGAAAAGAGGTGGAAGGAGGGTAAAACTGAAGAGGAGATAGCAGCTGATGACTGTGGTTTAACTCCAGCTGCTGCAAGTAAGTTTTGAAACCATGTCTATTAAATCAATACATTTAGAGCTTCTGTGTCTTATTGAGTTTATCACTATTCCAGATGCACTTAGAAATCTTCAAGTTCTTCCTCCAATCAGTGAGTTTGAGGAAATCAATATCAGTGCTGCATTGGCATCCAATGTCAGATTACACTATCCTAAAGTGGCTCGCCGGTCTCGTCTTGATGAATTGCTTAGCCGCCGTATGACCTTGAAAGTTTTAGAAGAAAAGCGCTTGGCTCAGCTGGTAACTATTTGGTTCTTCTGTGGCACTGTTTTGTTTTATTTAACATATAATTGACCAATATATTTTTCCTTTGAAGTCCAAGGAACCTGGCAAGGGTGATTCTCCCGAACCTGATACTGAGGAAGCTGATGGTAGTGACATGGAGGCTGAATCATCTCTGGATGGAATACTTCAAGGAAATGCCACCAAAGTAAAAGATCGAGATGGAAATTATCATGTTGTTTCTCGCAAAGTTGCTCTCTTGAAACAGCAACTATTGACTTTGAATAATCTAGGCAAAGGACTTGTCTGTTATTCTCAAGAATGTAACCTTCAAGCTTCAAGTAAGTTTATCTATCAACCATATTATTTTATTCATCTTTTTTCCTTTGGTAGGTATTTTTAATTCGTATCCTATTTTAAAATTTTCAGATCCTGTTAACAACAGTAATCAGCTGGCAGCTGCATGTGTGAATACTTGCTATTCACCCATCTGTATGCAGAAAATACGACTCCGAGCAGATCTTTTAACTCTACTTCGTAAGGCTAATAGCGCTTCTGCTTCAAAGTCTCTACCTGTGAAAGAAGGTCAGTTGGAATCTGGTTCATCATTATGTTCTTATTTTCATGTGCCTATCTTAATGAAGTTACTATTAACTTATTATTGTGTTGCAGAAGAGCAAAGTGCCGAAGTTATCAGTGATGCCATTATAAAGGATTTGGAGTCTGCTGTTGCATCCGCAACCACTTGTGATGTGGACTTGCACTCTGTTGCTGGTCCTGTTGTCAAAAAGCCCAAAACTGAAATCAAAGAGGAATCTGGTGTGAAAGGAGCTGATGGTTCATCAGAAGTAAAGAATGAAGATGGCGATGTTGAAGTTGACGATGTTGCTCCTAAGAAAGAAGAAACAGAAACCCCCAGTTCTTCAGAGGGACTAAAATCAGCCCCTGATTCCACCAATGAAGTTCAAGTGGCTGATACTACTACTCCAGATTGCAATGAGGTTGAAGTTAACTCAGACGTTAAGTCTGAGAACCAGGATGTTGAAATGAAAGATGAAAAATCAGCTGAGGAAGCAGTAGTCTCTGTCACCACCACTACTACAAGCCAGGTTGTCACAACCAGTCATCAACAAGTCAAGATTGTTGGAGGAGTTGTTCAGAGCGTGAGTGCTAGCAATGCATCCACTGTATCTGAAACAAGCACTACCCAAGTAACATCAACAACACCTGCAACGTAAGTAACATAGTTGTGAAGTAACTTTCTTTTTTTTTTTTTTTTGTGCGTGTGTGTATTAATTTAATCAATTGGTCACTTTATTTTCTTTGTAGTGGCTCGCTTTTAAATACTATCCTAACATCTAAGAAGAGAATTGATCACAGTGCCATGGCAGTGAGAGCCAACCAAGGGGGTGTCACCACAACTTCCACAAGAGGTCATGCAGTCACCCGCCAAACAATTGTCTCAAAAGATGATGAAGGGAAAATGTATTCCACTGCTAGCACATCTGGAAAAGTCTATCTCAAAAGAGTGACTACAGTTGTGACTGACAAGAGAAAGAAGCGGAACCCAGTAAAATATCCTAGCTATTCTCACTTTGTATCTCGTTCAAAGAAACGTAGTGCTTTGATTCTATCCACCCCTGAACTACGGAAACTGTCAAGATTAGGAGGGAAAATGGCTGTTAGTGGATTCCACCATCAGGCCAAAGCCAACCCTCAAGCATGGCCTTACCAATGTTCTCGTCCTCTTTTCAAAACATGCTGGCTGTACCGCACTGTCAACATTCGCTCACTGGCTGCTGCTGCACACCAGCTCCGCATTATGTGGGCAAGTCTTCGCTGGGATGATATGGTGGTAAGTTTTTTGTACTTGTTTTTTTTTTTTTTATTTAATTGTATTTGCTTTCCTATAAGATTAATTTGTATTGAATTCATCTACTTTACAGGCCAAACCACCTACCAATGATGGCAAACATCAAGTGACTACTGACACAGAAATCATGTCTATGGAAATCCTCAAACACAGACATTTAGGACAGTTCATGGATCGCACTCAGTATTTGATGCGCAAAGTTGTTATTCCTTTGGAACTGCCGAAAACTGTTCGAGGTATAGTACAGAAAAACTAAGTGACCCCACTGCCTTAAAGCCTTCCTCCACTAACAATTCTCTTTCCGTCTTTCCAGAGGTAACTTCCATTCGTAGTGGTCTTCGCAAACGCAAGCTTGCCGAGTCCCCTCTAAACACCGAGCCTCAAGTCACTGAGGAATGGCTTGATGAGGAAAAACTTGAATTGTGGAATATAAGACAGTATGGTGAATTGTTAGAGCGACAAGCCACTCAAACTATCACCCGGGCTCGATCTGGAGTTACATCAACTCAACCTGGAGCCCTTACCAAAGATGCCAATGTCCAACGAGCTGATTCCCCTCTCAATGTTGTGAAAGGCAATCCCACAGAAATTAAGGAGAAATTAGAACAGCAACTCCGTATCCAACGTGCAGCACACCAACAAAAGCGTGCTCTTGAGACTGGTGGTGCTACCCAGGTGGTGAAAATGGCAGGTGGACAAGTCGTGAAACTTGTACCCACCTCACAAGCACAAGGTTCGTTTTATTCATCAAATATTTTCTTTTCCCTGAAGCAAACTTCCAAATTTAGCTATTTTTAATTATTGTAATTTGTTTTACATTTGTAGATGGCACTGTGAAGATGGTAGCAAAGGTAGCCATTCCAGCCTCCCCAGGTGGTGGTCAGCAGCAGGTTAAGACTGCTTTAACATCTTTGCTAAACAATGGCACTGGCAATAAGAACATCATAGGTACAAGGAGAGTATTCATGACAAACAAGACTGATGGCACTAGAGTGATCACTGGTCCCACCAGTATACTTCCCAAAGCCAACACTGTGCAGATAGCTGGACAACAGTCACTTATCAAAATTCAACCTACACCTGGGCAAGCCCAAACCACTGTCCAAATTCAGGGTGCAACTCCTGCGTCTCCTGTGCAAGGACAAACTCCAGCCTCGCCTCAAATAGTGCCGCAGAGAGTGCAGATCCTCAAGCAACCTGATGGTAAAATCCAAGTCAAGGGGCTGATGCCAGGCAAGTCTTCAATTATTTCACATAGATGAAATGAAAAGAAACCAAGATTTATTTATCTGTGATAGTGTGTTGATCTCAACAGTTTAAAATGCTAATGTTGTTTTTAAATTTCAGGCCAACAACTTGTGCAGATGCCTGATGGAAAGCTGCATGTGTTAAATACCACAGCTTCGCCTGGCCAGGCATCTCCTGCTGCCACTAGAATAGCAGTTCCCAACACTGGCCTTGTGCAAAAGACACCAACCATTGTTCGAGCAATTCAAGGCTCACCTCAAGCCGCAGCAAGCTCAGCTGCTGCTGCTGCTACCCCCACCACACCCACCACTGCTGTGGCGGTTACTCCAAAGACTATCCAGAGTATCCAGAGCAAAGGACAGCAGATCCTTGTGAGACCTGGGCCTGGTGGACAGCTGACAAAACAATTTTTGATCCAGAACGCTCCTGGTCAGCAGGTCTTGGTGTCAAACAGTGGGTTAGCCCAACAGCTTGCTGCTGGTAAATTTACCCTTGCCACAGTGAATGGTCAGCAGGTTCTCATAAGGACCCCAACAGCAGGAACTGGCGTCCCTGTGCCTCCTCTTGCGCCGCAGGTGAGAGCAAAAATACTTTTCTTTTGGCATGGTAGCCGACTTGGATAGTCAGGTCCTCTTCTCTTAGTGTGTGCTGTTTTCTTGTGGTATCACGTGGGCCAGGCTCTAAATTGGGCATATCTCTTCCTATAAGGTGTGCAGGCGTTGTTTAGAATGTCTGTGGACCCTTTTCTCAAAAATGTTCTTTAAGAATACTTTTTACTAGTTCTCATTTAGATTTGAAATAGTTTACTACTTTTACTCAAGTTTTTTCTGCATTCCATCATTTTTTCCTAGAATAGAATAATTAGCTTTTGTAACACCATAGACCAGATGGAACATTCTCAAAATAGATGCTGTTAGTCAGTGCAATCCGTCTTTTTATTTCTCTACTTGTTATGACCTGTGTGGCGTTTGTTGCCTGTGCATGTGCGGCAGATGGTGGGTATGGGGAACTTAGTGCTACGGGCCGCTGGTCCAGCCCAAGCACAGCAGGCTCAGGCGCTGCAGCAGGTGCTTCTGAAGCAGGGCCATGTCCTGGTACCTTCACCGCAGGTGGGTGCCTGTGGTAGTGAATTTGTGCTAGGCATAGGCTAGGTCCATCTTTGTCTTTAAAAGTGCTGTTTATTTCTATTCGAAAGTCCTCAGAGATGGGAAATGTACAACTGTGTTTTCTATTTTCACAGAGTCAGACAGTTCAACTGCAGGTTGCACAACCAGAGCCCAAGGCAGAGCAACCTGCGCAGGAGGTATCGCAGGGTGTGGAAGAGGGCTTGGCTGAGACTCAAGTGGAAGGGGAAGGAGTGGCTGAAAGTGGACAACAGGAAACTGTTCCCACTGATCAACAGGCTCCAGCTACTCAAGCACAACCCGCCGCACTGACTCCCGTCAAGGTACAGCATTTTCTTTTGAATAATCCCTGCAGGGAAGTGTAAAGTACAATTTATTGTATATATCTTCTTTTTGCAGACTGAAGAAGAAAAGGAACGAGACATTGAGAGGTCTCTGATGGCAGGCCAGCCTCCTGGCACCGTTATCAAGTGCATAACCGCTCAAGTTGTGAACACTGGGCAAGGCCCTCGCATTGTTCTACAAGGTGTCCAGGGAACTGAATTCACCCAGCAGCAGTTGGCGCTAGTCCAGCAACAGGTGAAACAGCAACTGCTGAACGGTAAATATCTTCTAGTTCCCTTTCTTAGTGCATCATTTCAGAATGGCAAATCATGTTGCTTTCTGCCTTTACAGCACAAGCCCAGGGCAACAAGACACTACTGGGCCCAACCAAAATTTACCTGGCAGTGCATCCTCCAAAGGCTGCTGCGCCGGCTGTCCCAGCCAGTCCAACTCCTGCCTTGGCTGCTGCACCGCAGTCGCCTCGGAAGTTGGTGAAGCCCGTCCAGGAAGGCCAAGTTGCTGGTCAACTAACCAGACAAGTCTTGGTGAATGGTCAACCCCAATCAGGTTAGTATAGTCTTAAAAAAAAACAAAAAACATTCTACTTTTACTTTATTACTAGTACCCGGTTTGAATTTCGAATTCTTTCTTGTCTTGCAGATGCTGATTCTGGCCTAGCGTCACCTACTTCGGATCAATCATCAACTCCCTCAGCCTCCAACAAGTTTGTCGTCACCCCTGATTACATCCAGCAAACCATTCGAAGCGCTCTGAAACAGGAGAATCTAAACCCGGAGATTGAGGAGAAGCTTCTCCAGCTCCAGCGCTTCCAGGAGAAGCAGCGCTCGAGACAAGAACCGGGAACGCCCGTCGCTCCGACGCCCCCGCCGCCGCCTCCACCGAGCAGGCCGCCAGCGAGAAAGAGGCCCGCGCCCCAACCGGCGCCCCAGCCAGCGCCTCAACCTGTGCAGCACTTGGATCCACCCCCAGCGAAACGCAGCAAGGCCACCAAAGTTGTCGTGGAGCAGAAGTAAGTAGCACACCGCAGTTTGCCAATCACTACAAAGTATTTCTTCAACTAATTTACTTTGTTACTTTTTTTAGGCCTGAACCTGAAGAGAGGGTTGAGAGACACGAGCGAACTCCTGTAAGCTCCAAGTCTCGCAAGGAGAAGGTGAAGGAAGCAGCGGATGAACGCCGGCGTGTTGCTGTAAGCCAGAAGCTGCAGGTTATTTTGTTCCGCCACAAAGAATTGCTTAAGAAAGACATTCTTAAAAAGCGTGCCTTACTTGAGAAAGAAATGCAGATTGAGATTCAGGTAAGAATTTGCTGCCATCAAGGTTCAGTTTGAAAGATTTTTGTCCATTATAAGTCCCTGCCACTGTAACATTTTTCTATTATGTATTACAGCAAGATTTGTCGATGGAACTAGCAGCTCGTACCAAAGCAGAGCGTAACAAACAAGATGAAGTACGCAGTGCCGGCAATACCGCAGGTGGCAGTGCCAGGCGCAAGTCTCAGGCCACTGCTGCCACTGCACTCACTACAGGAACACCCACTGTTGTCAGTGGTGGCGGACGTAGCAGGAAACATTCTAGAGGCGAAGGACGTCCACCAGGTCGAAGTGATGACCAGTCTCCACCCGGTCGTGGAGGTGGTTCTCGCCGCAAAGAGAAACTTTACTGCTTGTGCCGAACACCCTATGATGAAACCAAATTCTATGTTGGCTGTGACCTTTGTAATAATTGGTTCCACGGTGACTGTGTGGGCATTACTGAAGAGATGAGCAAGACGATGTCTGAGTTTGTCTGTACAGAATGCAGACATGCTCGGGATACGCAGGAACTGTATTGTATCTGCAAGCAGCCCTATGATGAATCTCAGTAAGTTATTCAAAAAATTAATTGGCATTTTACCTGATTTGAAACCATCTATTATATCAATAATCTTTTTCCTAGATTCTACATTTGCTGCGACCGGTGTCAAGATTGGTTCCATGGTAGATGTGTTGGTATCCTTCAGTCAGAAGCAGACAATATTGATGAATATACTTGTCCAGGATGTCAGAAGAGCTCTGCAATTAACAATGCAAATATGAAGAACTTGTCAAACAAGGACTATGATTCCCTGCGCAAATTATACAAGCAGCTGCAGGTGAGTTTCTCTCAATACAATGGCTTCTTCAATATTCATTAATACCAATAACAACTCTGACTGTTCTACTTGTCTTGTTTCAGAGTCACAAGAGTGCCTGGCCTTTCATGGAACCTGTAGATCCTAATGAAGCCCCCGACTATTACAAAGTCATTAAAGAACCCATGGGTAAGTTAATGAACCTCAATTTAAATGTTAAAACACACTCAGTTGAAAATTTAATTTAATAATGTATGTTCCTCTGCTAACTTGTTTTTTCTTTCTGTCTTTTTATCAGATCTTCAAACCATTGAGCTTAGAATAAACGAACGTTCTTACAATAAGCTCAGTGAGTTCATAGGTGATATGACAAAGATTTTTGATAACTGTAGATACTACAATCCAAAGGAGTCCCCATTCTACAAATGTGCAGAGTCCCTTGAAGCTTTCTTTGTCCAGAAAATAAAGTGCCTGAGAGATAAATTGTAACAGCTAGGATTTGCACATTTTAATACTTAATACCAGAAAGTTGACTCTGTTAATTATCTTCTGTTGACATAAAATGTTGCATGTAAAAGACTGTATGATTGTGTTGTGGCACAGGTGTGTGTGTTAGTGTGTGCGAGAGTTGGTACAAACCATAGGGGAATAACATACTATTGAAATCTTTCTTTTTTTTATAAATTTGTAAAATAGTATTTTGATAAGATTTTTATTTTTACATATTGATTGGAATGAATTGTTTGCCTACAATTGTTTGTGTGTATTAATCAGGTGAAGGCCATTTCCTTCACCTCTAGTTTTATTTGTCTTGGCCAACATTTTATGTCAATGGGGTCGCATATAATATCGATATCATGTTTTAATGAAATCAAGTTATAAATGAAGTATCATATTTGTTTTTCCAACGATTGACATACATCACCCCTGACTTATTATGTTGTATTCTATTTTCATATAACGCTTATGAAAAATGTTGCCTTTTGGAACTGTACATATTCATTCATCTAACTTATTACATAAACATGAAGGAATTAATTGTCTAATTATTTTAATTGGAGGTTTGCTTGAATGCTTGGAATGGATGCACAGTGAAGCTTAGCTGCTAATTGGAAGTGAAATTTTTTCTGATCATGGAATTTTGTTTGTAATCATTAAATTTGTTTCTGATTCAATTCCTTATTGCAGTATCGATGATTGGTACTTTATGAAGTTAGCATGGATTTTTGTTGTAGCTGCAACCTTCTGCTTGAGCAGCTCTTCAGTTCTTTTGTATATCCTACAAGTATGTATGTATATGAACTTTTTCTTTACTTTTCTTGACCTTATTGTTTGTGTCATAGTTGGTCACTTGAAAAATCAGAGAAACACTTGTTTCTTTTTCCTTTTAATTTGTGGTGTCTTGTAGTTGTCCTCTTGTGTGTCCCAGGATTGTTTGTAAATATTGGGTTAGTAGTTAGACTCAACCGATATGTAATGCAGCTGTTTGTTTATACAGACAGGTGACCAAGTGCAGTTAGTTCCTTCTTTATTAATGGTTCTTGTACTTTTCCATGATTTGAAGTAGTGTGTAATAATTGAATTGAACCGTAACCCATGTTTTGTACAATTGTAATTAGACTCTTATAGTTATGCACAGGAAAGGCTCTCAACCATCTAGTTGATATTAAAAGCTATTTTAAATTTTATTTTCGTTTTTGTTCCCAATTCCTTAAATCCATCCATCCAGCGAGACCGACAACCTAACTTGGCTTGATCGGCACCAGATGACCGGACTCTCAGTGTAGTAATGGGGGTTGGTCTCGGCACCCACTCCGCGGGGGCGCCCAAAGATTGAAATTGACGTGGACGTGGGTCTGGGGGCAGGGCAGTCGAACGCGAGCGATTCCGCAAGGTATAGCTCTGTCTCTGTCGCTCTCACGAAGTGCCCCGCTAGGGTGCGAGAGAGACAGCACGGCCGACAGGGCCCCCACGCCCATGGCCACCGGCACCAGACGCCCCCGCAGGTTGCATGAGGAGCAAGGGCTTCTGCTGCTGAAGTGTTCGGGGGCCAGGAGCAGGATTTCCCAGTGGAGGGAATTTGTCTTCGTCTTCAGAGGTAAGTAAGATCCAGTCTTTGCGAGGGGAGGGGGAGGGGTGGCGGCACAGGGCCCGGCTTGGTAAATAGCTACTGGGGCTGCGGCCCCTCGGACACCTCTCAGCCCCTCCAGGGCCTTTCGGCGGCCGACGTCACACTGTGAATGATCCTCGGCCAGTGGGCCGTACCGGCAGCACCGCCAACAGCAGACTGATTCCGAGCGTGCGAGAGAGACAGAGCGACGAAAACGACTCTCGGAATCAGTCTGCAGGGCAATTAAACCGCTTAATCAGTCGGCCCGGAAGCCCTTTGCGAACGCGTCATCAATCCTGGACGGGACGGGACGGGGTACACTGGGTCAAGGCGGTCGGCAAGCACTCTCAGCTTCGCCGGGCCGGTGCTCGGTGTGGTCGCGCGGTCGCGCCCGGAGGCAGCCGGGCAGGCAACCCATCCCGCTGATGTAGTTGTTGGCTTGCCTACCTCGCGGCTTGGGGCTCTGGACCTCGTCGAGATTAGACTTTGGCGGCTGGATCCCGGATCGGTAATCGGAATCGCCGGATCGGGCGTTGCCGCTCTCCACCCACACAGCCGCCCACCGCCCGCCCTCCCCCCGCCCCGCCCCGCCCCGAGGGGAACACGGTTTTCGACTCTCCGCGTGACACCGGCGCGGGCGGAACAAGCGAACAGCGAACGCACGCCCTCAACCTGTTACACCCCCAGCCCCAGCGCCGCGTGCCTCGTCGTGCCTCGGCCGCGTCCGCAACTTTCAACATTCATGCAGATGGCTGGTGGCTGCGGGGGTGGCGGGGACTGCCACCGCCCACGCAACCCACGCACTGGCAGCAGTCGCCGACCTGTGCCGTGCAGCGGGTTCGAGTCCCGGCCGGGCCGCCAGTTTCAGCCCCCGGCCCGCACACGCACTCTACAGCGAGTCGTCACGTCGCTGTGTACGCCCCGCCCCCGCAGAGGGCGACAGAGACAGCGGCTCGACGAAACGACCGTTAGGATCCTGTCCACGCCGCGGGTTCGAATCCCGGCAGGGCCGCCAGTTTTATTGCGCGGTGGGCGCGTAATTACGGCAAGCCACGCCGCGAATCGCTAATTCATTGCCTGCACATTGCACGGCTATTGGCCCACGGCCGGGCGGGGCGGGGCGCACCCTCCAGTGATTCCGTTCGCTGCTGCTGCTTTTTTCCTCTTTTTGCTGCCCTGGTGTTGCACGTCGTTGCAGTGCTCCGCAGTTCCCCTCGATATCGAAATTACATGCAGGGCGGCTGGGGAGAGAAGGGCCACCTCGTCAATCAAACGTCATGGCTGCAACGCGAGCGAACGGCAAGGCGGTGGCGGCAGCAACTTTGCAGTGCTGGGTCGGAAGCAGCCGATTCATACACAATATTTACCAGTTGAATTATCTTAAAACTCAAGGCGGATTTGTTTTTCAAGACTGGTTTTAAAGTGTTCCCTTTCCAGACTTTCGACCACTTTTGACCGTTCTCCTGGATTTCTCGCCTCGGCCTCAGGGCGCGAGAAGCGAGATTTAAGGACGGGTCCCACTCTTCATATTTTGGAAAAATGAATGGGAATGCGGGCAGCTCGGCTCAGCATGGACCCTTCAGACTCGCTCCCCGAGCCTCGAGCCACGCATCGCCGTGAATATTACGGCTGCCAAGTCGGAAATGGAATGAGACTGGAAGGGCGCGCGCGCTTTCCCGCGCTTTCCTCCGCGTCGCCCTCGCGCTGTCTCTCTCGCACTCGTGGGGCTCCCCGTAGAGGTGCGAGAGAGACAGAGCGAGGAACGCCCTGTGCGGAGTCGGTCCGCTGTTTCGTATTCATTCTGCGGCCCTCGCCACTGCTGCCGCTGCTCTGGTTCGGCCTCGGGTTCGGCCGACGGCCCCCGACGTGACGCACCCACTGAAAGGGCCAAGAGCGGCGGCCGTGTGCGCGGTCAGGGCTGCCAGGACCAGAACCGCATCGCTAGGTTAGGTGAGGTGAGGTTAGGTTAGGTTAGGTCAGGTTAGGTTAGGTGAGGTGAGGTGAGGTGAGTTGACATGAGGTGAGATTAATCATCATGCTGGTCGCCTTCATTTCCGCTGGGTTCCCCATAAAACGTCCATATTATTCCCTTTGCATTTCAGCCAGCGCAGCCGTGAGCGATCCCGGAGAGTCGTCGCTCTGTCTCTCTCGCACCCCTACGGGATGCCCCGCGAGTGCGACAGAGACAGAGCGAGAGCGCGGGCGCGATAATTCACCGCCCAGTTTATCATCTTCCCTCACAATTAATGCTGGCTGCGTGGCGCCGACCGGGCCGGCCGTGCGTAACGCCGTAACGGGGTAACGGGCGCCAACGCTGCCGCGACAGCGCGACACAGATTCCCTTTCTCTCTCTGTCTTTTTTCTAGCCCGGTTTGCTTCCCCTTTTCCATTGCGAATCGGAAGCACGGGGAGCGCAGCGAACCAATGCGGCCATTCAGAACGGGCCAGAAGTGACGCGCGACGCCACGCCGGAGCCAGAGAGGTCGCGTCCTGGCCTGGCCGAGGCAGCAACTGAGCTGTGCGAAGTTTTGATTTTTGCCGAGCTCCGTATCAGATCAGAACAGACCGTATGAGTAAGGCTCGACCACGATTCAGCCGTCGGGACTGGACCGTCGCGTCGTCCCCTCGTGGTGCAGGCCGTCAGCGCGCCCGCGGACGACGCGGTAGGCAAGCCGTCGAACGCGACGTACACACGGATGGCCTGGCCGACGGCGGAGCCAGCAGACTGCTTCCTCCGAGCACTGCTTGCGTCGCTCTGTCTCTCTCGCACTCGTCCAGCTTCCCGTGAGGGTGCGAGAGAGACAGAGCGACAAACGGTCCTCGGGCGGTTTTCAACCTTTTCCCCAGGAACACCCCCGCACCGCAGCCCGCCGACGCTGCACGCACGACGCGACGTCGGTTTGCCCAAAGTTCCACCTGCTCTGCAGCGCTCTGCGGCGCTCTGCGGCGCTCTGCGGAGTGAGCACAGAGAGGCGACTTTGCGAAGCACCGAGCGGCCACGCCGGCACACCGGCACACGGGACCAGCAGCAAGTCACACTCGCCCCCAAAACTGGCTCGCCGCGCCGAAGTCGCTTCGCTGTCTCTCTCGCACCCAAGGGGACGCCCCGCGAGTGCGACAGAGACAGCGACGCACCGTCTGCGCGGAATGAGTGGCGGGGCCCCGCGCCCCGTGAGTCAACACCGCACCGCGCGGCAACGCGCCGAGAGAGGGGTCCTTTCACTCCCGGGACGCCGGCATGACGAGGGATTACCAAATAAATGCCAATTTTGCCCCTCATCTGCCGGTGCACCGCGGTGGTGGTTGGTGGCGCCCGGCCCTACTACTCCCGACCGCGAACAATGTTCCCCTCAAGTGATTGAATCAACAAGTAGCGCCGAGACCTCGCTCTCTGCCTCTCTCTCTCTCTCTCCAGCGGGTAATGCAAGTAAGGAGAAAGGATGGCAGACAGCGGCGCAGCGGAGCGAACCCACCGGGGAATGCTCTGCACTGCACTGCACCTCCGAAACCAACTCGAGATTTTCATCAAGTACACTGATTACTGAATTATTTCTTTATGCTGTTCACTTTGAGTGACCACTGGGATGTTTTTTACCAACTGGACTTACACTTATTATCTCGAGACGGCCTAGCACTGGATAGCGCCGCGCCGCCTTACCGGCCGCCAAAAACAACATCATGGCCCCGCGGTCGTTTCGTTTGTTGTTCCGGCCCCTGGCGGAAATCGAACCCCGGGGCGCTGGTGGCGCTAGCGGCGGCGCGGTGGGTCACGCGTTCAATGGCGCATCAAGTCAAGGCCCTTCATTCATTGCGCACTTCTGGAGGAAATGTGCAGCGTGTTATCTCATTGACGTCTAACGGACGGCGCGGCGCCTCTCGAGACGGGTGATTATCGCAATCACGCCTCTTGAGACGTTTTCTAGTGTGCATCGCAGAGGAAACGAGGGAAGAAAAATTCCACCCGCGACGGGAATCGAACCCAGGATCATGACCGCAGAGCCGCTCAGCCCACCCACGTGAGCCGACATTGTGCTCGCTCCGAGGCTCCGACTGTGCAAGCCGACCAACATAACGCACAGAGTTATTCTATTTGGCCTTGCGCCGTGCGCCGCCAACTTGTGCGTGGCTTGGCGGCACGGCACGCCCGCCCTCCAGCCCTCCAGCCGCACAAAGGGGAAATAAGTAGCAAGGGTTTGAGCAAAGGACTCCGCGAGCAGCAGCAGCAGCCCCTACGGGCCCCACCGGCGTAGCGTAGCTTCGCGCAGCGTGGCTCGGCATGGCGCGGAGTCGAAGCCAAGCCCCCCGGAGAGAGCTTACGGCTGTATTGAAATATTGGGGGCGGAATGATAGAGGGAATATTATCGCCGGTAACAAGAAATCACGGGGCCGCGCTGCCGAGCGCGGGGAGCAGCAGAGCCAACTTCAAGGCCAGCTTCAAGGCACGGCGCGCGGCGTGGCGGAGGCCAGACTGCGGGGGACTGAAATGCCTGGAGCCCTCCGGGCCGTGGAAGAGTACGCGTTACATCGAGCTGGCGGGGCGGGCCGCGCTGTTGCTTCGCCAATCGAGTAAGAGGTCCCCGCCGTCCCCGCCTCGGCTTTCCGGTCGGCTGGTCGCCAAGTCCTCGCAGTGTGGTTGCGCCTCGAAGCGCCTCGCTAATACGCACTAGCTAACGCTGCAGGCTGCGCATAGGAATGCTAGGGTTGCTCGGTCTGTCAGGTCGCAGGGTTCGAGACCTCGGCTAAGATTTTTTGTTTTCGATTTTTTTCCCCGCTGACGCTTGTTGGCGACGAAGCGAGCAGCACCTGCAGTTCGTCGCTTTGTCACTTTGTCGGTCTTTTGGGCGGGAAGGTGGATGTGGAAGGTGGCGGGGCATGTCGAGCGGGGGGCTTGGTCGGCCTTGGCCCAGGCCTTGGCCTTGCACCGCCGCCTCCGCGTCGTCGTCCTGCTACGTTTTTGGCGAGCAGCACGGTGCACATGCGTCCGACTGCGTCCGCGTCCAGAGCTAGCGCTGCCGGTACCGCTGCTTCCCCCAGACGTTCCCCGACGCAAAGCCGTTCGCGTCGACGAAGAAGAACGCCCTGAGGAATGCGCTGGGGGAAAGGGCCGGGGGAGGGGGGGGACAATGCAGCGATCAGGAGGGGGGGGGGGGGGGCCGGCTTACCTGGCTGGCTGTACAGCTCAACTGGCCACACCGACCGGCGTCTCGCCGCCGCCTCGCCACACCTCCCCCCTCCTCCCGGATCCTCTTGCAATTGTGTAAGAATAGTGGCGTGACATGGTAGTTCGCGACGCCGCCGCCGCTGCGGACGCCGCGCTGGCGTCGCCGTGCCGAGAAGCAGCCGAGCCCTTGTCCTTCGACTCGCCGTCGTCGACGGCGTCGCGGTGTTTGAACGGAGCCAGGGCTCTCGCCTGTGTGTGTGTGTGAGTGAGCGGAGCGCGTCGGGAGGTGGCGTGTTCCTACAGTCGCCAGCAGCGCGCCAGCGGGCTGGTTTGGAACTAGCCTTTCGTCGCTCCGTCTCTCTCGCACCCCTCAGAGACGGCCCAAATGAGTGCGAGAGAGACAGAGCGGCGAAAGTACCGCTCGGAACCAGCCCGCATGCGCCAGCCCTCGGCTAACACCTCGTTATCAGGGGGCTTTAAGATCGCGCCACCTTTTTGACGATACCGTGCTAAGTCATCTTACCTCCGGGTCTTTGGCTTCGGAAACGGCCACTGCTTTCTGCTCCGCCGGGTTAAAAAGACCCTCATAAAATAGTCTCTGAATTTGAGATTTTTCATCAAATTTGCACCGGGAGTTTGTCGTTCGTCTAGACAATGTTGTGACTGTGTTGTGACACACTGACCGCCGCATTGTCGAGCCTCCACTTTTTCCGTGGCCGTCTCCGTTAGCTGATAGGGAAAGCACTACAGTGTGTCGGCCGACACAGGTGCGGTGGAAACGAATGGATGCGGGGATGGTCGTTGAATGGACGTTATCTACCGCTCCGTCTCCCTCGCACTCGACGACGGACCGCCGCGCGGGAATCGGTCTGCTGATGCTCGGCGAGACACTCATCGATTCTAATTTGGTAAATGAAGGTGAAGAGGGTCCTGAAGAAGATTGGAGTCAAGTGACGCAATTGCAGTTTCGGAGATAGCGAATTCTCCGCGAGGGACGCGTGGGATCGCGTCATTGCATTCGGCGGAGAGGCATACTCGTGATTCAGACTTTCGGCCAGCCGGCAGGGAAGGAAACTTCCCGATAGAAGTGTTGCCATTGGCACTGACGACAACGTGCTGTCGGCAGCTGCTCCCACGACGTTTAGTTGTTTTCGCGGCCCGTGACTGTTTTCGTTTTGCTCTTTGAGGCACTGACGGCGCACACATGTCTTCCGCACCAAGGCCGCTGTCCTCGTCGTCATCGTCGGGAACGTGTACGGCGGCGTCTGTCTCTCTCGCTCCGCCGCGAGCGCGCAAAGACAGCTCGGCGGATAGGCGGCGTGCTGTCCATGGCGCCGCCTTTCCTGCTGCACCGAAATTAACAATGGAGGCGTCTCGCAGTGGCGGCCGGACTGTTTCCTCCTCGGAAGTGTCGAGGGGAAGTGCCTGTCCGCGTTGACGGTGACGGTGACGCCGCCCGGCCCTCTCGGGGACAGCGCCAGCCAGCCAGCTGCCGGGGCGACCCCGAAAATAAACCAAGTCACACCACCGGCACTGTCCTGGCCCTGGCGGCCCGGCTGGCCTCTTGCTCGGCCCCTCGGCCCGGTGACCGGGCGTCGGCGTGGCCGCGAGGCCCGAGGCGCCACGGCGGCCGTCGGCCCGAACGGGGTTGAATGTGCGCGGGTCGAGGCGCTGGCGGCTGGGCTCGGCACGGCCCGGCCGCGCGCTGCGCGCTGATTGGCCGTCGGCGCGCTAGGTCAGTGGCGAGCCCCCGTGGAGCGCCAGCCGGCGGCGGCTCTGCCTCACCCCTTCCCTCCCCCTCCACCACGCCCCGCCTCGCCGGCCGGCCGCGCGGCGCTGCGGGGAAGGCGAGCCTCCGCGCCGCAGCCGCAGCCGCACTCACAGTGAACCGGCGGCGACTTGCTCCGCTTGCTCGCCCTCCTCTTCTCTCAGTTCGCCGCCGAGCGCCTTCGCGTCCAGTCCGCACGGCTCCGGCTCGCCGCTCCAACCGTCGTTCGCGTCTCTGCGATCGCGCTCGCCGGCGACGAAGGCAACCTCGTGCACGCCAACCCTCCCGCCTTCAACCACCTCCCCGTTGTCAGCCCTGTGTGTGTGTGTGTGTGTGTCGCGCGGATTTAATCAGTGTCGTGTGTCCTTTGTGAGTGTGTGTGTGTGTGTCTTTCCCCGGATCACGGCCAAGATGAAGTTCTCCGCACAGCACGCCGTACTGGCGACGTTCTCCGTCTTCGCAGGTGAGTTTCTGAGTGACAGGTGTTTCATTGTGTTGGCTGGCGCCGTCGAGGGATTGCCACAGTGCCCCTGCAGGACACGCTGACGGAACCTGCACCACAACCCGCTCGAATGAATGAATGAATGAATGAATGAATGAATGAATGAATGAATGAATGAATGAATGAATGAATGAATGAATGAATGAATGAATGAATGAATGAATGAATGAATGACAGCACATGGTGCACTGGTTCATGCAGCATGCAGGGTGCTCGTCTTCACCAAGGGGCGTGTCAAGTCAAAGCACTTGCCTTCCATTACCGGTGACTTGGTGCCCGTCCACTCCGCGCGTTGCCGCTTTGGTCACTGCACTGTCCTCCTCGACGGTCGATAAATAATCTATTCCTGGCGGTTGTACGAATGTATACAGCAGCGCGCGGACGAGCCGTGGCGTGTCGACAATGGGCAGATGGTTGGAGCAGGTCGGGACTCGAGTAGTATAGTGTAGTGGCAGCACTCGCGGCGGAAACGGATACGCCACGAGCGACATTGCGTGCGAGGAAGAGAGAGAGAGAGAGGCGGGCGAAATTAAGATAGGAATCCCGTTTGGCGGCGCTGTCGCTGTGTCAGTGTGTCCGTGACGCGGATGGCGTGATCGACAACTTCTTGCCGGCGGACCAGCTGGCTGGTTCCGGAGCAGTGCTTGCCGTCTCTCTCGCACTCGCACTCCAGAGGCGTCCCCGGAGGGGTGCGAGAGAGACAGAGCGACGAAAGGGCCGTTGGGAATGGCGGGGTTGGCGCCCCAGCACTGGTGGCAGTACGGCAGGCGTCGTCGTCAGCGCGGCGCTCGGGCCGTGTTTTGACTGGAACCGGTTTCGGCCCCGGCGAGACGGGACACGCTGTACACCAAGATCCTCAATGATTGGGCCGCGGTTCGTAATTAGCATGCACCGAAGAGGAATGCCTCGATGTTTATTAATAAGACGGCGCGGCCAGAGAGAGAGAGGGAGGAGAGTGAAATGGCAAAATCTGGTTCTGTCCGGATAGGAATGTATCGGTTATAGCGGTGGTTTAGGGGCGTTCGAATCCGGCCTGCAGGCGTTTGTGTCTGCTTCGGAACTAATACCGGTTCTCGCACACACGCACGCTCCCAGTCTCGGCCGGCATGCGTCGTTCCCCCTCTTCCCCCCTCATCATCGCGTCATTTGCAACTCCGTAACAGCCAATTGGGGGGCGCGTTTGAACTGGCGCCTTCTTTCCCGCCGTTGGTGCGCCCGAGTGACGCGAGCGGACGCGGGTTCGAATCCCACCTCCGAGTTCACCGCTTTTCCGAGCGACGGTTACTGCATACGACACGCGGCGTTTGTTGAACCGTTTCGGGCGCTCTAATCCCGCTGCCGGCGCTGTGGTCTGCGGAGGGGGAGGGGAGGGGTAGTTAGGGCGGGCCTTGGTTCATGAATCTCTGGTGAAGGAAGTTTGCCCCCTCCCATTAGTGCCATGTCGAGTCAACGTCTCCATCACCCCGTCATGATGCGCCTGGCCCTGCTGGAGTCTGGAGTCTGCTGCTGGAGTCTTCGTCATGCGCCTGGAGTGTCTGGAGTCTGGAGTCTGAATCGAGGAGTCTAACGGGAGTCTCTTCGCGTCGTTAATCGCCGTACACACCCTCATTTGTTAAGTCCGTCGGACGCCTTGTGCGCACTGCGTCCCCACCGCAAGGCGCCCCCGGGGGGGGGGGGGTGAACCCTCTCGCGCGCGGGAATCCTGTCCGGACTCGTCGCGAGGGGGGAAAGGGGAGGGGGGCGCTAGTTGGTAACAAGATTTAAAAGCAGGTGTGTTGGCAGTGCTGGAACAGCAGGCGAGGCTGCGAGGCGTCGAGGGTGGCGACAATGACCTCGCGACGTCGCGACACTGGAAGGCAAGGGCGGTAGTTGCTGGGATTTGCATGATCGTGGAACTTTCCTCTGTTTGGCCGCTGCCGCGCGAGTGCATCGCACGGCGCCGCCTCGCTGCCGCTGCACTGCACTGCCGCGACACTGATTGATGGTGTGATGGAACGCCACGGCCGCGGGTTCGAATCCCCGCCGCGCCCCGCGCCGCGCGGTGTGCTTTTCCACGCGCCTGCGAATTAGAAATGTATTAGCGAGCGCGCCGCTACTCAAGTGCGCCGCTCGAGTGCGGCTTCGAGAGCGGCTTGTCATGTCTGTCTGTCTCTCTCGCGCCGGGACCGAGGCCGGGACGCCCCCGCGCGTGCGAGAGAGACAGCGATTCTTGGAGTGCGGCGCGTGCCGCGGCGTTTATTAGGCCGCATCAGCTCACGGTGACGATTAGCGCCTCTATTTCCCCGCTCGGCCTACAGTGCGGTGTCCCGGTCGTCCCGGCGCTTATACAGTGTGGTGGCGTGACGCCTATTGCTCACGGATTATTAAACGCGCCACCGCCGCCACGCCGCTACTTTGACGCGCCGTGCGCCGACACACACTGACACACAAGGTGAGTAACATCGCACCTCGTTACGTCGGATGACTGAGTCGGGTTCGGCGCGAGTGGCGTGATGCAATTCGCGTTATCAGCACACACACACACACACACACAGAATGATACGCGCACACACCGACGCACACTCACTCGGTCACACCTGCGGCGAGGTGAGGCGAGGCGGGCGGGGCGCGGCGTGAAGCTCTTATTCGCGGCATGACACTCATCCCTGACGGGGAGGGCGGCCCGGGGGGGGGGGGGGGCGCCGCGACGCTACGCCGACGCCACGGTCGACGCGCATACCTCGAAGTATCGTTATCGCGCGCTTCCAGAAACGCGCGTCGCCTCCACCACTGTAAAACCCTCCACTCCACTCCACTGCGACGTTCCCCCCGTCCCTCCCTCTCTCCCTCACCTGCCGCGCTGCACTAGCCACGCGCTGCAGACTGATTCGCCGCTCTGTCTCTCTCGCATCTAAACGGGACGCCCTGTGAGTGCGAGAGAGACAGAGCGACGAAAACGACGCTCCGCTGGCCTTATTCACGTTCCCATTCGACGGCGGCGGATTGCTATTCGGCCCTACACTAGAAACGCGGTTTTTGCAGTGCGGTGACGCAGTCGACGTCGTGGTTGTTTTCCGACAGCCTCCTTTTCCTTCCCGTGAATCGCGCGCTGTGCGGAAGGATCGCTCCGTCTCTCTCGCACTCGTGGGAAGCGGCCCGTGGGTGCGAGAGAGACGGAGCGACGACTGCCCGCGGCGTGGCGTGGCGGCGGGGGCGCTCCGATCCTGTTTCGCGCTGCACGTCGGGCCGCTGGGCCGTGGCATTGCACGTGTATGCTCCGCAGTGGCGTGGCGCCACGGCGGCTCCGGTTTCAAGGACGCGTGGGGGAATTCCCTGGCCCTGGCGCGGCCCTGGCGGCCCTGGCGCAAACCGCGCTTCCCACCACATTTTTTGCGTTTTGGAAAAAATCAAAATATCTGTTTTATAGTTATCATTTTGTCCTCCCTCCTCTCTTCCCTCCTCTCCTTCTCTCTCTCTCTCTCTCTCTCTCTCTCTCTCTCTCTCTCTCTCTCGACGGAGCACTGTCCGGAATCGCCGTGGTGCAGCTGGGCGCCGTGCGCCGCCTCGCTCGATTGATTAAATGAAGGCGGTGATGTTGATGATGACTGGCACGCCTACGCCTCGCGTCTTGCCCCCCCCCCCCCCCCCCCCCCGTGTGCATTTGCAAGTGCAGTGCCCGAGTCTCGGTCGTCGGCTGCTGTTTCGCGACAGATCTGGCTGCTTGCTCGTGGATCCAGAGACAGAGGCCTCCTTAATTTTTCGGGGATTTTTCGGGAAATACGGCAAGCGGCAAGGCAACACTGCTGTAAAAAAAGGTCTAATTGAAAGTAAAATTTATTGTTACCCCCTCCAAAAAGGCACTATACTGTCGATATACCTACAGCCAATAGTTTGGTCGTTTCGACGCAACTTTTTCTTTGACAGTGAAGGCAACCTAGGGCAACCACCCCCCGCAGGCCGCAGGGCGCTGGGCCGGGCTGGGCCGGTGGGCCGTTATGGGAAGGCAGCGCAGAAGGCGACTGGCAAATATTGATACAGCCCGCCGCCGCCGTCCCCGTCAGGCACTTGCTACCTTGGGCCCAGGCGGGCGGTGGCGTATTTTTGAAGTGTGCCTCAATTATCGAAATCTGCGTCGCGAGGAACCCCCGCCGAGGATGGCGGACGAATTTATAGACCCGGATATAGCGTGCGCGGCGCGGAACGAGCCACGACACTGTGAACGATGCGGCGATGACGATCCCGTACTCCATGCGTGCCTCACGCGGTCCGTCCCCAGTGCCGTGACACATTTTACCGCCCCACCCCCTTCGCTCGCGCCACCCTCTCAAGTTCCCAGCTCCGTCTATCGCATTCAATATCACGTCGTGTCCTCATTATAAAGGCATCGTTGATATACAAAACACGCAAAAAAAAAAAATTGGCGAGAAATTCAAAAAATGGTTTTACCAGAGCAAAAAAAAAATCGCGGGAGTAGTAGTTGAACCCGCGACCCTTGGGTCAGAAATGGCGCACTGACGTCGCCTGGATGCCCCGATCGACGCGTCGTGTCCCTGTTTAGCGCCACAATTCGAGCGCGTTAGTGCCGTCGTAATGAGCTCGGCGTAGCAAGCGTAGCCGGGCGGAGCGTCGCGCCGTCTCGCTCGCACACGCGCGAGTGCGAGCGAGACGGAGCGATCTCTTCGGAATCAGTCTCCTCCGCCTGTCTGTCCGTTAGTGTTGGTGGCGCCACGTCCTCGCCGGCCAATGGGAGCTCGCCTGGCGTCTGTGTGTGTGAGTGTGTGTGTGTGAGTGAGTGTGTGTGAGTGTGACGGGGAGAGGTCGGCAGGGAGGTGATTGCCATGATGGCCGAAGGTTGTGTGTGAAGCCGGCAGCACAGTGTATGGTGCGTCGCTTGCGAAGCGGCTTTGCAAGTGTGCTTGCAACGGTTGCATCGTCCCGATGCATCCCCGCGGTAATTTTTTTTTTCCCGTGTGGTGGCGATT